TGTTAGCGCCAGGTTGCTGCGCGGTGCAAGGCCATCTAGGGGTCGCATTATGTATTGCAACAATAGCATAACGAGAATATTCCGGGAACCTTATTCATAGACGAACGGGCATGCACTGTTACTGACAGGGAGGCACACACAGACACACAGACCAGAACACAAAAAAAATATGAGTACACCAGACATGGTGCCTGTCTGTGTATGCAACGTGTCTGTTCCCTGCTCGCCGTGTGATCACACACGATACGAGCGCGTGGCCTTACGAATACTACATTGAGGTACTATTCGTGAATTAATTTCTTTCGAACCGCCCAGGCGTATGCATGCATTAAAGATCCTAAAATCCAAGTCCGCCTTGTTTGCCGAGAAGAATTAATATCGTAGTTTTCCGGTCTTTGGGGGAGGAACTCTTGGCTTCCGAGCCAGAGCGAAGACGACAGAGATCGCAACACCTCTCGCATACATCTCTCGACAACTGTGCGAGCGTGCGATGGACACAGGTCTGTACAGAAGTAACACGATGGGCAGCCGCCATCATGACGGGCGGCAGCTCGTGAGAAAAAAAGATCTCCGACACGTTCACATACGCACGGCGGGAAGATTTAGATGATTCACTTGGTGCAATGATCGGTGGTTGGTGCCGCAGCTTCTCAGCACGGCGGGAAGGGAGCACCTGGTGGGGAGGTATAAAATAGTAATGCTTTTTTTACACGCTTAATTCCCAAAAACAAACTTGATCATGATGACTGGGACAAAAGCTCCGCGTGTGGGTAGACTAGACATACATGTATGTACCCCGTGGTTGTCCAGAACCATACCCGAGACATGCATGTGGCGCAAGCGCATCGCCGTCTTTATTGCTGAAAATCTCGTGGGAGAGCGTTGTTGTAGTAGATGGGTAGCTTGACATGTGCGTGGTGTGTCGATTTGGGCCTTTGTTCAACTATAACTTGTGCTGGGGGCAACAGCATACATACATACGACGTACAACACAGTGCATTTGGGACACACCTCTGGAGATGTTTTACCGTGTTCGCGGATTTCGTCGTGCTCAAGGTCAGCAGCACGCGTTCTCCCGCTGTAAGCCAGTCCACCACCTCAAGTCCTGTCGTAGAGGTCCTACTTATCGTACAGCAGCTTGATACGAAAAGCGGCTACTCGGAGTACCAACAGGGGATGGAGGTGCTCCTCTCTTTTAGGATCTTGCAAGAAAAAAAACACTCGTGGTTGCGGCTCTTCCGACGGTAGATAGATGCGGTGGAATGCGCGGCAGAAAGTAAGGTAGATACTTCAAGTAGATGTGAGAAGAATAAATACCAGCCCACAATTACGGGGATGGTCATCCCCAAAATTCAACACTCTTCTAAATCTCCACTTCTAAACGCACTTACTTGCTGGTGTGCTGGGTGCCCCGCGAGTCCCGCGAGATCGTGTGAGTCTGCTGCAGCTAACTAAGGGTTCCGGGACAATCCCTCCTTGTAGGTAAGTACATGTTGTGACTTCCTTGACAAATTTTGGAGCAACGGAAGGAAGGGTGGTGATTGATTGGGTGAACTTCCCATATTCATTCGCATTGATTACAGCGGTGCGTGCCTCAGATGTGGTTTAATTAACGGTGCCTCCACAGAGAGCGCAGTTTGTGTACGTACACGGGGCATCCGGTTTCATCCGGTACAGGAACAGCAGTATAACGAAGTGCGCGCCGCTGCGTATGTGTTTGTCCGATCAAGGCCGGGGCGTCTTTGTGTGTGTGTGCAGTCTGTCGTCGGAATAATCGGAAAAATAAGACAGCACGTGGCCGGCTGGCTTCTTGGTGAACACATCGCGTGCACATTGTCTTCCAGTCACAATCAGCTCAGGGTTCACACCTGGGGCTACAATACTGGCGCTGCCTGTGGGTTCCCAAAGTTGATACCGCTGGTGGGCATGCGTTTCGTTTGCGAAACATTGCGCATTCAACGGAGGACAGACTCAACTCACTCGTCTTTCTGTGCGTACTCTTTAGTCTATTTTGTTAGAGGATCCGAGATATGGCACCCATCGGAGGGATCGCATTCAGCGTATCGCACCCCTGTCGGGGTTATCGCATCGCGGGATGCGTGCATACAGCACTACCGTAGCACCAATAGGGCCGCTGTGTGTGGTACATTGGGCATCGCACCCATCGGAGAACGAAGCACCGGGGGTGCTAAAAATTCAGACCGACAGTTTTATCCGCAACCCCGCCATGACACCGGGGTGCGCAAAAAATCAACACGAAGAAGAAAAAAACGCACACGATGCCAAATCTCTCCGACCCTTGCGGTCGGTCCACTCTCTTTTTTCAACGGTGGTGGCGCATTATTGACGCTTTTTGGCTGCCGTAGGTTGGAAGCTGCTTGTCCCCCGGTCTCGATGTCGTCGGTTTGGGGAAAACACGTTTTCGCCGTGGCCAGCAGCTTCGTGCGTGGGTGATATGTCGTCCCCGGGTACGCTGGAGCATTCAACCACACACGTTCACGAGCGTACCGATGCGAGACCAAGATCTTCCAATCCTGATCATGGCCAACGTCCGGGACTAGCAATATAGAGTTCACTGTCTGGGATGCCTTGTGGTTCTAATGGCGGGTTGTGGCTCGAATCATTGCAAGGGGCATCCGGGCCTTTTTTGCATCATCTTCGGGTTGTTTTCGGGCGAATATATATATATGCATGCGTACTACAGCATGTACTGCTGTACCAACTGCTGTACTAAACACGAAACATATTTGGCGGACAAATTTACCAGCTGATGAAAATGTATGCATACGATATGCGAACAAAAAAATAAAGAAGGAACGCATGTATGTACATACATACATACCTCAACGTAAAAAATCGAAACCAACTCACCTTCATTTTTCGTTATATTTTTTCAATGACTGTAATGATGTGATGAGTTATCACTCAATACGCCGCGGCATCACCCTCGAGGGTGGTGCCATACACGTGCGTACGCAACTTCAGCTCTTAGGTGACCACCAGGACCCACGACAAACGTTTCGAGCACCATCTTCCCGCGACTTTTTTAAAGCGAAGAATAGGAGAACACTACATACTGTGTATACAGCAAAATACTTCCTTACGTGACGTTGTGGACAGCTACAACAGCTCGTCACAAGCACAATGCTCGAAATTTCCGCAGCCGACCGACGATATGGTGTGTGAGTGGCGAGTTCCATCACGCCTTGACAGCACGCAGCAGCAGCCAGAAACGACTCTACAGTAGGGGTAATGTTGTGAACTGCAGCATCTGGATGCATGCAGCAGCCCGAATTTGCACCAAACTGTCGAAGGTGCCGGGTACGTTGGCGCGTCGCCGCCGTTCTTCGCGTGTCTATCGCGGATGAACAAAACGAATTGTTCGCGAATTTATCTGGATTTTGTCGGGCGTGTTCCTAGACCAAAACTTGTGGTTCAAACAGGTGTTTGAATCTTCTCGTCTATGTTTGTTCAAGAATTCTGGATTATTTTTCTGCAGGCAACAAAGAAAAACCAAGGCACCAAAAACTATTTGAGAGCGCAGATAAAGCGCCTTCTTGCTCCCAACGTTTCTCGTCGGGCTAACCCTAAGCCTGCCTAGGTTGCCCTACTATTCATCTTTTTTGCCTCTCGCCCAAACAGATCTTACTAGGTTAGGCATGTCCGATGCTCTATCCCTCCGTATTCCATACCAAAGCACGGACGGGCCATGAGTGCAGACAGCGGTTCACCACACTATCTATCCCATCCTTCTCACGAAGCGAGGGTCTCCAAGTGACCAACATCCTTCGGTACGGTCTGTTGATTTCTCGACCCCATGGTCCGGAAGTGGGGTCGTCATACGACCCCCTTCCCTGTGCGCTCATGCCGGCCCGGGCGTCCTTCCCTTGTGCATCTGATCTTGTCTCATACAGTGCACGCAGTATAACGGTGAGAACACAACTTCGAGGGAATCCTCTTGAGTCGCGAGATATTCACGCATGCCGTTGAATAGCCCCCGGGACGGGTGAGGGGGTAAGAGAATTGGTCGTCCAAACTATCTTTTCTTCCCCGGCTAAACCTTCCATCAAGACGTGACAAGTCAGTGGGTGATGTCGTACGTGCCCACCGCTCCATCTCCTCGCTATCTCGATTCGTTTCGACAACTTCTTTTTATCAGCGGAAGAACAAGGTGGTGTCCGCCCACCCTATTTCCCGTCTATCAATTTAAATGTTCTCGACCACGGACCATAATGTTCCAAACCGAGTCGTCCCGACTTTTTCTTTCGGCAATTTCTTTTGGAGGATAGTACCGAGCACCGCTCGACCCCCCTCGCCAATATCCTGCTGTTTCCACCCTGAGTCTTCCGTAACTTTTTCGACGTTAACGGTGATGTCGTGTTCTTCCCAACGTGACATCCTATCAGCGAGAGTGTTCCTTTGACCAGATATGTGCTCTACCACGTGGCTCCAACCGTCGGCGATTTCCATCCTTCCCATGAGCCTCATTGTGAGGCTCGCTCGCCTTTCACGGGATCCGCCGCACATGTTCTACGGCCTGCCGTCTAAGATCATTTGAACTACCCACGCCGCCATGAACATGCCGATCAATTCTAACGGATTGATAATAATGTCTGACGTTTCCCTCGCCTGTGCCTTGCGCTTGAGATCCGAAGAAGGAGTCGGTTCAAGCGTGTATCCCCAGAAAGTCTTTAGTTCAGGGCAGAGGCCGCCAATCGCTGTGAAGCTAGCGTCTGAGAGATAGAGGTGAGATGGTGTGCGCTTTACGTAGAGTAAGAACGATGCGCTGAGGGACTTCCCTCGAAGTACCAGGGGTTGGCTAAGGGCCGACTTCCAGAAGGCAACGACAGAGAGCGTAATTGTCCCGCCCCTAGAATACGTCTCGACGTATGCATATGAGAAGGAAATAAGAAGGTAGTCAAAGAGCTCGAGGCAGCGGAGATGAAAGCAGCGAAAATCATGATAGGATGTTCTAAGCGCACAAGAAATGCAGCAGTGAGGGCAGTGCCGAGGACCCAACTCCTACGATCTGGAAGCGATGCAAGGAAGCAAAAAAGGTCTCACAGCTAAGGCATGCAAAACATTAGTATGCCCCCCCCGTCGTCCGGCCCAGAATGACAAACGTGGAGTGTGGGTCCAGGATTTGGTTTTCGTTTACCCTTGGACTCTACGTCAAGCTGTTTCGTGTTTCATATATATATATTTTCCCGAAACGCCACTCAATTCACAACTATTCTGTTTTTTGGGGGGATCCACGCGTAGCGTCGGGAAAATAAGAAAGTGCAGGAGCACCGGTCGCACCGTGGTCGTGTCCGCAGTCGAGCAGAAATTGCCCAGTGGCTGGACTCATTTGCAAGGCGATGTCCCACCTTGTTCCCAGCAGGGTTCCCCCTCACATGGGTTCCCCCTCACATGGGTTGCCAATGGCACTCCGAAGTATGTGCCCTCACAGTACATCGCTGCGTTCCCGCTAGAAGTACCCAACGTTATGTACAAGTCCCCCTTCCCCGCACTCCGGTTATGTCCGTCGCGTCCTTCCTCGTGCAGAGCGCGATCGTCGTGGTCATGATGTGGCACCGCCTCGCGGTGGCAGCTTTGTTCGGCGCACACGCTGTTGATGCACTCTTGCCCACGGCAGGAGTGGGCCGATCTCCGCGTGTTCCTGGAGCTTGGGTGTCTGCTTTTTCGAGGGGATCCAAAGCGCAGGCGATCACCAAGAATCACCAGGTAGAGGAACCGTAGGCCTGCCGTATTGGTGATCAAGGCCCTGTGTTTTACGAGGGTGTCGCCAGGAGTGGATGGAGCATGTTACAATGACAGTTCGCGGGAGTGTGATGAGATCGACGTCAGCTGCCGGCTTGTCCGCTCTCGACTGCACAACAGGGGCACCGCTTGCCGGTAGTATGCCCCTTCCGCGCTTGGGTCGGTGTTGAGAGTTTTTTTTCCCTTTGCACGCACTCCTCACTCCTCACCAATCGCTTGCACGAAAGGTGGCACCACCCCAGGGAGTTGTATTTAGGTGCAAGCTTTGGCACAGGATAGCGGTATCTGAGGAAGCAGATCCAAGAATGAGGCTGGTGATCGCCGACGAGGATATAATGCCACGGCAAAACGTACGCGGAACTCTTACTGTGCACGAACCGATATCTGGTGCCGAGTCTGACATCTCCCCCAAACAATCTGTACAAGAGTCACGGAGAACCTCATCGCACTCGCTGGCAAAGAAATCCACCAGGTTGTCGGACATTAGAACTTACCGGCTAACGTTTTCACCGTCGCCGCCCGCCCGAACGTTTACTTCCGCTAGGTGGCCCACCTCTGCCAATCATCATTCAATGCTGATGACGCTCCTGTTCTGGATCTCAAAGACGTCAAGGCTGGTGATGTGATCGTGTTTCGCAATCCCCCCCAAGGCGGCGACTTGGTGCACGAGCTTATCTGCAAACTCACCAGCTCACCCTTCCCCCACGCGGCTCTAGCGTCCGAACCCCTGCGTCCGGGAAAGTTTTCTGTCGAAACCATCGAGAGCACGGGGAATGTGGCCCACCTACTACGTGGACCACGCGGAGTTAACTTTGGTACGTTGACGTCCGAGCAATATGCAGTGGTGATGAGGCGCGGAGATCGTGACATGCAGCCAGTGGTGGACGCCGCGAAGGTGGGTGGCTCCTTGGCTTTTCCACAGGGAACTTCGCGAAGGCATGTGCATAGACTGGTTAAGATGCGTTCGAAAATACGGATAGAACTCGAGGTGCATCAGAGATGTTCCACCTTTTCGCGGATGCACCATCTCACACATTGGATTGTCCAGGACATGCTGTCAAAACCGCAAGAGAGAAGACCACCCACACTGTGCACGCTTCAGGGTATATTATTTCGCAAGGCAGGCTTCAGTATCGGATAAAACTCCACCGGACGCTCACGCGGGATATTTTGTTTTTCCATCACGTCTATCCAGTGCTCGCAGCATTTCTGCAGGAGGCGCTCCGATCTGGGGTCATGCCGAAGGTTTCCTTTCCCTGACGCCTCCACCCACCCTCAGGCGGTACATGACCTTCATTTTTGCGCGAGACGAGTTCAGTCTTCCCTCACTGTGTAGCTAGCGCTGGGATTCCAACACATGACCTAGACTGCAGAAGGTTACGGCACTACCAGCCAGACCATCAGGGCGACCGGCCTCACATCGGGCTCTTTGTTTGGCCTAAATGACGAGGAAAAGGAAGGATATTGGGGGTGCTTGTGTGGGGCCTCTACTATCCTCTTGTTTGAATACGTTTGGCCCAGTTGCTGTGACGCATGCGACGTGTCAGCAGCAGAGCCTCCCGCTTCACCACGGATTGCTCTCTGACATTCCCTCTCTCGTGGTGAAACTGTTCCCAACCGGACTCCCTAGCTCCAGGACCGCCTACCGCAAACTAGATGGCCGCGCAACCCGCCTAAATGTGACACATGCACCACAGGAGTGAGGATCGAAACCTTGCAACGCAGAATTGAAACGCAGAACGCTAGGATTTAGACAAGGCCCGGAAACATCCATTACGTTTTACGATCGAAGACCGGTTTCGGAACAATGAGCAGTTTTTTTTCGGTCGTGCTTGACAGTATGTTGCATTTTCTCAAGTTAGCCTACTGGGAATGAAATATCCAAAACCCACAAGGCAGCAGGAGCTTGGGCACCGACTGATTGCGTTATCTCGATCTGCCTTCGTTTGCTCGGCCTCCTTGCGTCTATGGCAGTTGCGGATTGGATCACCCTATGGCTTCGCGTCCGTCACATGCCTAGGACTACTCCTACTGTCCAGGAACAGGTTAATCTACAGGGGGCAGAAACTCAATCCAAATGCTCTGGTCGTCCTGCGTCTCATTGTGCAGTGGCTGCTGAACGCGCTGCAGAGCGTCCCGCCTGAGAGAACCCCCCTTTGCTGCAGCCAGTTGGTGTCTGAGAGCTTTTCTGACGCCGGCAACGACTTCAAGCTCAGCTTTTCTCGCCTAGTGGCGGACACGCCGGGCTGGAGGTTTGTCCGCAACGACCTTAGAAAGATTATTGCGAATGCCCCCGGTGAACGCTTTCTGACGACGGTGGGATCGATGGACATCGCAAGCAAGGGGTCCGCGGCAACAGAATTTGACTCCACGCCCAACGAACTACAGGACGCCCTGAAAAAGCTGAATGAAGAGGTCGAACAATTCTCCAAGCTCATGCCTGACTCTACTGAGCAGCCCTACGGACGCGTACCCATGGACGCGGAGGGCTTCCTGCCTGCCGAAGGCATCACTAGCCTGGCGTGGAAGCTCGTGTCAGCAGTGTATCATCTCAGTACGGGGAAGGAAGGAACAAAGAAGGAAGTCCTTGATTTCATCGATGGCGGCAACCTAGAATCCTATCTCATCAGCCCTGTTGACCTTTGCGAGAACTGTCCCAGCCTCAACAAAGTTGGAGTCATTCAACCCGAAGAATAGTCTTCACGAAGGCTACGTCGTGTAGAGGTTCCGACGATTGATGGGTAGAGAGCAACAACTTTTAGCGTTGGGTGGCGTTGCGTACGGCCGTCACGTTGAGTTACACGCGCAGATGACTCCATCCACGTTTGTGGTAAACGGCACTGGGACCACAGCTAGGAGGGTGCCGGATGGGAGCTCTTTGCACCTGTAGGCAAGGAACATGTCGGGATTGGGTCTCGTATAATTGGTGAGGGAAGGGTTCATGCAGGACTAGAGGGTAGGCGAGGATGTTTCTTTCTGTGATATGTACCGTCCTCAGCCTTTGGTCGCGTTCGCGTACGGCCATGTTTAGCGTTGTTCTTAAGATGTTGCAGGAGGGAAATGTTGCGTCAAATCCTGTTGGCCCGTAGCGAAAATGTCTCCGGTATGCCGTCAGATGTCAGATTGATTCACCGCTGGTAGGTGACAATGGAGCGGGGCCGAGTGGTCTTAACTCGCGCGACGGAGAAAAGAGGCGGCCGTGCTTGACACGTTCGTCAGAGTGGTGCGAAGAATGGACGAGAGATTCAACCGGATAGAGAACATGCTGGTTGGGGTGTGCGATAGGCTGGAGGTGCTCTCGGCTCTGTGGACGCAGGCACCTGGGTAGTAGTCGCCTTTGGATATCTGTGTGTCTAATATGTTGTACAGCATAGGTTTTCTACATGCCTGGTTGGAATGTTAATGTTGGCAGGAGGGCAGGGGGTGATCGAGGGAGAGAGAGAGAGAAAAAAACAGGGAGACTCGCGTGACAGATCACATTCTGTTTTCCATCACCAAGGAAGTGAATCGCCCAGCCCCCCGAGGGACGCAGGGACGGTCCTAGGCCCTGGCTGATTCCTGGTGTGTCTACAGTTAGCTATCGATATCTCAGGTTGACCGACCGGGTCTAAAACGTTTTCTCTCTACGCGTTGTATGGGAGGTTGAACAGCGCTAACAAACAAATTGAAGTGACTGTACGGTGGGCTATCGCCGTGTGTGGGGATCTGAAACACCGCCATCGAATTTCTTGAGTACCCAGATGCCAGTAGTACTTATTGGGGGCGGTAAGGACGCAGCGCATCTGGGTATCGTACTAGCTCATGGCGGGGAAGTCGCCTTTGAATATCTTCCTTCCAAGGTATGATAACTTAGGGTCGTCTATATCTGCCTGGTGGGTACGGGAATAGGGGATGATCGAGAGACAGATGGAGAGAGAGAGTGAGACTCGTATACACTTATACACTCTGTTTTCTATCTCCAAGGAGGTGAATCGACCAACCCCCCGAGGCCACGGGGGGGTGCTTCTGGTCCTAGGTCCTGCCTGATTTCAGGTGACTCTACAGCTCGCATACCTAGCTACGCACACGCATCAAGGCGGAGGCGAGGGCTACCCATGGATGGATGAGTCGAGGGCAGAGCACAACAACAGACGGTTGGTGTCGGATGTTGTTTTCCCCTCGCTCGCCTTATAAGTGGTGTAGAATAATCTATTATTGAAAACCACTGGTGGTATGATGAAAAGTCTCCTTAGAGTAGGCATCGATCGGTGAGGCCCATGATCTGAGTTTTGTCGCGAGGGAACAACCTCGTCGCCTGCCCGACGACAACGAACACTCGCTACTATGATGTAATTTTGCTTATTTTGTGTGGGCACCAACCTTTGTGGCGTTCTTCGTCACGCGACCATGCTCTCGTGTACCACATACCAAGCATGTGCACTGTGCTAGCCTTTGGCACACGTTTATGTACCCCGAAACCACCAACCGCCAACAAGTAGGGTCCACAACAAACGGCAGTGCGTACGGTACGGTTTTCGGGGAATCGACACACATCACCAGTGCTTGTATACATCGCGATCCAGGCTTGAAACATCGATAACGTGGGAGTGCTCAATCAATACCTGTAGCTTTTAGTGCAACAGGCAGTAAAAAAAATACGATTCTGTAACGGTTTACATATATCCTTAGTGTCGGCGATCGTGGGATGTTTCGTGTAGGTTTCATGCCGAACACACACGAAAAAACGGCGTACATGCCATCAGCAAGTACATCCCCAACCAGGGCAACCCTACACCCCTCTTTCTTCCCTCTTCACTCTTTCAGACCACGGGGGTAGTGTCCCCCGCTCCCGTGGTAGAAAAGGACCAGCGGTGCGTGGAGCGGTTGCGGGGGGCGTCTGGCCCTGAGCAGCGGTGGCGAGATTCGTGTCTACAGCGAGCCCTCGGAAGGAGGCAGAAGGCCGGTATTGACGGCGCAGGCACGTGGCGGTGTCGAATCTGAGATGGTCGGTGACGCGCCAGGTAAGCAACCAGCGAGGGTGAGAAGTGGTTAGGCGAGCCCCGATTCCGTAGCCGCCGCAGCGAACGACAACGGAGGAGGACGAGGTACGCTGCCCTCGGCCACTGGCGCGCGCGAAGGGGGGCTGTTAGCGGAGGGGGAGATAGGCTTGACTGGTGGCTTGGGCGCGGATGGCCGCGCTTCGAGCGCGTTCCGCACTGTCCTGCGCGTGGAGGCCGCGGTGGACGGGGGGCGGGCGGCATGCTTTCTTCCCCGGGGTCTTCGCCGGGTGGCATTCGTTCGCCATCGCCAGTGGCAGGTGGGGGTTTCGGCGGCGATGCCGGAAGTGGCGGCGACGGCATGGGTTTGACACGAACCGGTGCTCCATCGGGGACCAGAAGGAACCGGCTGGGGCGTGACTGCGACGGCGCGCACTCTTCGGTTGGTCCTCTGTCGCCACCGGTGGTGGCTGCCGCGGGGGTCTCATCATCGCGCCTCCTCATCGGCGACATGAGAGCGGTGTGCCCCGTAGGCTCTCTCGCTTTCTTCGGCACCACTGGTGGAGGCTTGGGCTTGGACTCCGCGCTCGCCGCTGCCGGCCCAGCTACGTCGGGTGAACCGTTTCTTACTGGCGGCGGCGGTGGTAGGACGAATAACGGTGGAGAGGTCCTCCTCGGCGCCGTCGTTGATTCCAGCAACAAGGCATGCGCTGCTGCGTCAACTTCTATCATACCGATTCGCCCGAGAAACCCGCCCGCCGAAGCGAATTTCGACACGCGTTGCCGGGCGAGAATTGGCTTGTGGATCTCTACGCCCGACGTCGAGAACTCTATTGCCTAGCTCTCCGCGGCGAGGGCGGCGGCGAGATTCGGGCCCTCCGGAGTCTTCTCTCGTGTTGCCCGTCGGCAGCTTGCCGGTCGCACCGTTAGAAGATAGAAGATCGACGGCTGCGGAGAAATCTGCACTGGAAATGCCCGCCGCGGAGTCGCGTCTGACGTCCGAGTCTTTCCTTCCACGTTCCACGGCACCTAAAATGGTAGACCTGCGCGGAAAGCTGGGCAATGGGACTCCTGGAGGTGACGACTGGAGTCCAGCATGCATGCCGGCGACCTCAACCCACCCTCTGTTCCATCTACCTCTCCCCAGCGGTGAGGAGGCCGCGACCTCTCCGGCGAGCGTTGCGCTTCAAGGCGCTGGTAGTGATACCCGCCTGAGCAGCATGGGAAGCGCACCTCCCGCGCCGGGAGAACCGATGCCACCCCTGGCCAGAGACCATGCCTCGTTCGCGTGTCGTGCAGGAGCAGCGGCGGGGGCGATGGCGTCGGCGTAACAACGTTGGCGTCTCTGCCCTCTAAGCTGGCATCTCCCGACCTCCTCGCCTCGCCCGTGGATGGACGAATCGTGGGTGTCGGCAGCCACGCGTGCGACCTGGTCGCGTGCTGTTGCCTGGAGTCGCATCCTGCTTCTCCAGCGACCGACAGCGGTTTGCCGGGTAGTGGCAGGGGGGAGCGAGACCGGGGCTCGAAGACGGAACCGACAACATTGTCGAACGGTGCCTTTGTGCACCTTGAGGCTTCCTACAGGGTAAGAGAGCAACAGGGGCTCATGTATAGCACGGAAAGACCGGTGGCGGAAGTATCGGGAGCGCTGCGACGCCGGGGATGAAAAGTAGCGCATCAGGAGAACACGCTGCAGAGGACAGTGTTATGGCCAACGAGGGTGTAGTTCTAGTCCTGGCCAGCTGCACTGTCTCTAGCGTTGATGCGACCGTCGGCACTGCCCTGCGTCCAGAGCCCCACCGGCGTCGGAGCAACAGCGGCAGGCAAGAAGAATCATCGTACCACACCACTGTGCAGCGATTTTTGGTTCCTGTTGCACCCGCCACCGGCGATGGCGAAGGTCTTGGTTCGCAGAGTTTGGCCGCTGCGTTTCCGTCGAAACCCGGCGATGACAATCTCGTTCGCGGTACTTCAGGGTATGGGCATGAGATCGACACCGCCGGAAGAAGCGAGAACCTTTCCGGTGTTCCGTAACATGCCAAATCACCTCTGGTTGGCAAAACATACGAATCATCAGGAGCGGTGGGCGGCGACAAAGGGACCGGGTTCGAAGCAGCAGAGTCCCAGCTACCTCGCGGCCCATCAGGAGCCGACATGCCTACGCAGGGCCAAGACCGTGACCTTGCCACTTCGCAGCAGACTGCAAAAAGAAAAACGCGAAAAACAAAGTATGCTCAACGCAAAAATCAAACAACACGACCGAGCCAAACAACGCCAGTGCAATGCAATTTGACCCCCTTCCTTCAGGACCAATCACCCTTCTGCTGTGTGGAACTCTCTTGTCTGACCACAGATATCAGATGCAGGTTGTTGCTTTCCGTCGTTCGTTTCTCTTGATTAAAGACTTCCCAATCCAACGCACACGGATATATCCCAAGCACAGACGATCACCCGATCGTATGCACACATTCGGCACATGCCTCGCCATAAAGCCTAAATCTTGCATGACGTCACATCATAGCATCTGACGATGCCCAAATAACCACGGGGTCAAACACGCTCACATGTCTACCTCCAAAACCATAACACAGTCTCAGCTTGTCTCAGCACAGAAAACGCTTCGAACGGTCATGATCTGGGGCCCTGCGACGATGTGCGAGTGCGTGCGTGGAAGTACTTGACTACTTTTCGGCCCAAAGGAGGGTGGGGAGTAGCAAACGGTTCCATGTACTGTGTGAAGAATCCATCCCTGCTGAACGTGCGTTTCGTTTAGCTTCTCACGTCAACTCCTGACCACAAGACAGGGATTTGTTTTTTAACCCAAGTGCTCTGATTGGCCAAAAATCAAACATCCCTTTATCTATCTCTCGCAATCCACGAGTCGACCACGTCCACCGGAGGAGGATCGGTGAGTGACCACCACCAGCGGCGAGGGCAAGGCGACCACCAGCGGCGCCATCACCATACCATCGCCCAACGCCGGAGCCGAGGGCGTGGGTATAGCACCCCAGTCTTAGCACGACGACGACCAAAAGACAAAAAAAAAGACACGTGAAACGCTAGAGACTACACATATCCATCCCCAGGCGAAGAGTCGGTCATTGCCTCTGCTTGTCCACATCCCCACTACGGCCAGAACGCCAACCGCCACAGAAGACAACAAACAAAAAACAAAACAAGCGGGGGGGGGGGGGGCAAAACATTCCCCGCGGCACACCCCCCCCCCCCCCAACCGATGCTGAACGTGACACAAAAAAAAAAAATGCATACAATCGGAAACCCCCATGACTCATCGGGGTACTGGACCCCACAATTTTCCCAATTCCCGGAACTGCGGGGCACACCCAACCCAGGCCCGGAATCCCAGTGTCAAAAACAAGGGACAAAAACGGGAGGTTGGGGCGGCCCTCAAAAATCCCTCCATTGTCCCACCCCCCCCATGCTCAAAAACTGCAGGGGGGCAAACCTGAAAAGGGGTTTCGGCAAAAAAAAAGGGGGGTGGGGGGGGGGGGGGAGGAGGGAGAGAGGGAGAACAAACACGGCGTGAAGTAGCTAGCGAGGCACAAGCAGATTAAGGTACGGTGGGGTTCCTCAAATAGTGCCGCTGCTCGAAAAAAATGCTGGTAAAATCGTGTGACACGGATGGAACAAGCAGTCAAGACGTTGTCTCATTCTCTGAAGAGTGCCTGCCGGATGCCCGGTATAGTGCCGGCGAACCTCGCGGACACAAACTGGCCCAACTTAAGGGTCCTCCATTGTTCATGTGATAATTCCAAGGTGACTGACTGCCTACGAAAACCAAGTTACGAAAAAAGAGCAGGTAGGGAGCACGCAGACCCGAACCCTGACCGTGACCCCAAGTTAACTGATTGCATGCTTTATCCAGCAGTATGTTTGATAACTGATAAAAACCTGCGTTACAGACAATCGAGTCCAGGAGGAGAGCGGGGCCGCTCAACTTGCAGCACTCACCCAAGGATCATCACTTCTCGTGACGCGGAACCGGTGGGGACGGTGTGAGCCATCGTTTTAAACTGGGAACGAAGAAAAAAAGAAAAAAAAAGAAAAGGCACAAGAAGGGGTGGTATTAGTACAGTAGCAAGGGGTGAGAGCGAGGGTTCACGTTTCGCAGCCGCGTGAGTGGGTGTGCTTGCATGCAGAGGAACGAGGTGCCCAAAAGTTCGACATTTGGGAAAGCACACGACGGGCATTTTGAGTGCCAAAACAGGAGTTGGTAGACACGGCAACTGATTGTCGTCGCTTTTTGTCCGTTCGAACGCCAAGGGCCCTGCAGACAACAGTACGATCACACACAAAACGCCTCCGCCGCACGACCATCCGGGGGCAGCTAAAAAACATGCTATTTACAAGTACCCTATGCGACCGTCTTGTTCCCGTCTGGGGATGCCCCGTGGGGGGCACTCCTTCGCATTTCTATGTCTTCATTGTTGCGAACACACAAAAGAAATAATCTCTACTTGTATCCACAGATACAAGAGTCCGGGAAAAAGTCGCAATCATAAGCGTACACAATTCCAAAATGCGGTGAAACAAGTGTTGATGCAACATCCCGCTGCCCATGACTTTGGGTCGTGCGTCCCCCCGTCCCCCCCGACAAAACCTCACCATAAAGAAAGACATCATGGACCCCGTCCACAAGAGCGCCAGGTAGTACCACGTCTTGCCCGAAAACACCCCGACGGTCATGTTGATGCACAGACCCACGTATCTGCCGGGAGACGCGGGGGGCGAATGACAGCAGCGTGAGCAAAAATACATCGTACCACGGTATGTAGCACTGTACCACGGTTATTTTACCGCGTCGCTCGCCGCGCGGAAAGTAGCTCTCGCAACGGCCCCTCGGCAGCAAGAGCGGGGTACAAGCGATCGCCAGCAGCTAACTTTTTACGGGAGATGCATGCCGTTGCACAATCTCCGGAGGCTACTGTAGTCCGCCCCTCGAAGCAACGGCGAGTCTGTAGATCGGCGCTATGGGGGCAAGGGTGGGGAGATGAGGGGAGCTTGGAAAGAGGGGGCGGGGGGTGACATACAACAGAAACGAAAGCCGCCTTCATGCACGAAAAGACGGGCATGAGAGAAGCCCTGCTTGGGCAACGTGTAAATGCGGATAGTATAGGTTATAGTACGGGATTTCAAACTCAGTACTTGCTCTTACGGTCGATTTTTTCTCAACTTTTCGCGTTATATATCAAGCGGTGGCTAGTTTAGAATCAAATGGACATAAGAAATCTAAGACTTCGTACTCAACGAGCCTCCACGTGATAACGTGAACGTTAAGAACTCGACCGCTGGAATCGCGGACAAAAGATCGAAGGCTTCGTACTCAAAAGCCAACACTTGAATAACGTGAAAGTCACGAACTCGACCGTAAGAACAGGTGCTCATTCAAGAACCACATACTGAAAACTATATAATCGCCGTTGGGTTTCCCTACAGAGAAAATAAAGAGCTCCGTACGTGGTGGGGTCTTCAGCTGTGTCGTCTACGCCGACGGTGCCCCCTTGCACACACGCCTCCTGGACCGAGTGCGGTACCAATTTGGGCGGTCTGCGCGCTGCCGCCCGTGCGGCATACATACATCGGGGAACCACCCGTGTGGAGTTGGGCCTGTCTTCTTCCCATGCTACCAAAAAACCCGCACCTAACCTCATCACGTCGACCGCCGTATGATCGATCAACACACGGCAAGCAAAAGCGTGTGTCGCCACGCTGATGAGACACAAACCGCGCACACCACATGTATATTTATAGGCAGGTAGGTTAAGGATAAGCTAACCCTCTCATTTACTTGTAGCCAGTGTACGCCACGAGGTCGAGAACGACGGCCGGGCTGTTGAGAAGGTACAGCCCCAGCCGGATCAGGAGCACCTCCAGCAGCTGCGTCACTATGCAAGAGCTCGTCACCTCGGTCAACACCTGAAGACCAACGTCAACCACGACACACACACACAGGGAGAGAAGGCACAGGTGGGCGTGGGCGGCGTGGAACTGAAATCAAAATATCAACTCGAAACTATACCTGTGCACTCCAACGAACGAAACAACAGGTCGCATTCACTTCTGGGCGCAGGCTATCGCGGCTGTCTCTTAGCCTCTCCCTGTCTCCCTCCTTCCCTCTGTCTCTGTCTATCTGTCTATCTGTCTGTCTGTCTCACTCGCGTAGCCCCCCCCCCCCCCCCCTCACCCTCTTCCGCCGCCCGTTGCCACATGATGCACCCACCTATGCATTCCCTACCGCATCATCATCGTCTCGTGTTTCTCACCTCTGGCGAGAACGTCCCTGCACCGTCAGACAGCGCCGCCGCTGACCCCTTAGCGTACCCGGTCAAGAGCACGAACGTGATGAACGACATTAACGGAACGTACAGGTCGGGGGCGTTCACGTCCGCCACGGGCCGCTCGAACTTTGGTCTCCCCTGCTGCGCAAAACAGGAGAAAATAAAAGAAGAAAAGTGTGATACCTATAACTGGGCAGATGAACGTAGAGCACTCGATAGAGAGATCGGAACGGTTTTTTACGTAAAGGCAACAACAACAACAACAGATACTGTATCTCAAAACCGTTCGGTGAAGGGAGCAACCGGGACATACGGGTGTTGTGCTGCTGCTGCGGCCGGTCGTGGTGGTAGTGGTAAGCAAGCAGACGCTACAGCTGCTGCTGCTGCTGCTGCTGCGGGTTTGGCACGGCAACGAAACACTCTCTCGGCATGTGCATGTGTAGGAACAAGCAAAATACACACGAAAAAACAACAGCAGTCGGTCGCCGCTTTTGCGGGTGTCGTTGTCGATGCAGTTGCGTCGCTGCGAAGGTGTTGGTTACTGCGCGCGGCTGAGATTGGCGCCCGCCTCGCCACGTGTGTTCAAGGGTAGGTAGATGGGCGCTTACAACGGCAGAGCGATCATGCGTGGAAACACGTATGTTACCACCCGTGCAAGCATCGTTTCATGCCGTAGGCATGTGCGTAAATCATGAGATCGGTTAGTGTTTTCGTTCCTAAAATACTCCATGCAGTAGGGGGTCCGGTTTAGCGACCCCCTGTTCAGCGACATGCCGTGTTTTTAAGCGACCACAAAAGCACGTCGCACCGACGCACCCCGGTAGCAAGCTGCTATGTAATTGGTAGTTCGGTTTAGCGACCTGCCCTGACTAGCGGCCACATTTCGTCGTGACAATAGGGGTCGTTAAACCGCCCCCCCCACCGAATTGACGCTTCAATTCCTCCGGCTGGCGAATCCCGTTGAGTTCACCAAAAACGGGCGGGGTTGTGTTGCCGAGTCTGCATGCACTCTGTCTGCCTGCGCGCCCCTCTTCTCTTGGGTATCCTGGCCACTCACGTCATCCTTAACCTCGTCCTCCGACGGTAACCGGAACCAGTCCTTCTTCAACACCGACAGCAGCAGCACCTTCAACTTCTTCAGCACGTATCGGTTGTCCACCTGCCTCCCTCAAAGCAGCAGAAGCAAAACAGCACAATAGCGGGAGTCATATGTAAGCGAAACAGCAGCAGCAAGTGTGCGGCACAATGTTGGACACGCGAGGCGGTGTATTCGCCAAAACCCTATCGCCACATCACGAAACGCTCACCACAACCCTTGCAACAACAACGCACCGTCAGTGCTGACGGAATCGCGGGTGCAACAGGAACAGGCAGCACTCTTGTGCACACGGAAAAGAGCTACAGCTGGAAAAAAGGCAGCCGTGGGCAGAACGCTCGCCCCAACCTTGGCCCTTGCCGACAACAAAAAAAGCACGACCACCTCAAATACACCGCTCCTGACCCATCGACAATTGATCGCTCCTGTGCGCGACTGATGATGCCCAGCCCCGGTTTCTTCCACCTTCTCTCCTACCTCAAACGCGTGCTGCCACTACATGGAGATAGCCTCCCACCCTCACCGTGAAGTAGACCTTTAGGGTGTTCCAGTAGCCAGACACGCGAGGCTGGTACTGCGCCACGTTGCTTTTCAGGAAGTTGGAGGCCACGTTCCCGCCGACATTCAGCATCTGCACGCGACGTGTAACGCGGGGGTTTTGCTCAAGAGTTATTAAAGCTTGCTGCTGCTGTCTAGTCAAAAACTACGGTTCAGTCGCTAGTCAGGGGGAATGAAATGGTTATCGTCCCCGGGGGAGCTTAGCAACGACCTGGGGCCAGCGACTCGTATTGTAGGCTCCTCTCTCTCTCTTTCTCTCTCGCTGTCTGTACGCCTGTCTCCAGAACTGCTGTCTTATTCGGCCCAAAAGACAAGAGACGTCCTGTCCTAATCAGGCTCCTGGTCGGGATTGTTATAGTTTCCTTTGCTTACAATGGAAGTGCTTCTCAGGTCCGTTGCTGTCCGTTTGAACGGCTCTGATTGGTGGGCGACGGGTCAGACTGACGTTGGCTCGGCCAAACAGTGAACGCTATCCAGAAAATTTTCGGCGAGTTCTCGAATCTATCCCGCTTGGGGCCTTCAGACCCGTGTGATGGTGGCAACACAGAGCCCGGAACTCGAGAAGTCAATCGATCTCAAGCGCTCCCGGCCCTCCTCTTTATTCAATGCCATGCGCGGACGAAGACAATCTCTCTCTCGTCGCAGCACAGCCGCCGCGGAAATATCACCTACGACAACTCACGGACCACAAAGCGGGACCCATCGACCACCCTTACTGCTGTAGCCCCTCAACGAACCTGTGCATTCATTCCGTCCGGAGTCCATTGGTGCCAGTCCAAAGGCTGCTGCTGCTGCTGCTGCTGACCCCCCCCCCTCGCCCCCCCCGCTTTCTGCTGTGCCCCTCCCGCCGCCATGCCCATCGCAGCCCCGGCTACCGCTCCCATGCTAGCGCCCAGGGTATCCAACCCACCTCCGCCTCCACCGTTGGAAAACCCGTATTGATTCCTCCCATCGACCCCTCCTCCCCCGAGGGCTCCACCCGCCGTCGCCCCTCCTCCTCCAAACCCTTGCGGTGCCCCCGCGCCCCCAAATGCACCACCCCCGAACCCCCCTCCCCCGTCATACCCGCCCCCTCCGCCAAAGGAAAGCCCGCCGCCCGCGCCCGCGGCGCTGCCAGCACCCGTTGCCGAGGTGTACGGGTTCGGGGGATTGGCGGACGGAGGCGTGTACCCGGCGAAAGCGCTCGGGGCTGCCGCTGCTGCTGCTGCCGTTGCCGTACCGCCACCAACGTAACCGGTGCCGCCACCGCCACCGCCGGACTTCGTCTCTCCACCTTGCGGGCGCCCGCCAGGTCGTGGAAGGCTCATCGCTCAGTAGTAGTAGGCCTTTGCAGGGCTCTTCTGTTCAGCTACATAAACATGTTGGATAAGAGAATGTAATTGGGGAAGTTGGATTAGGGTAGGGTCTGTGTACCCCCTGTCTGCTCTGTTTCCTCAAACTGTAACCTTAATTTTGGCAAAGGTCCTCATCGCCCGGCGGTGGCGGGGGGGGGGGGGGGGGGTATTCAGGTCTACCGCCGAGCTGCCTCTTGTCCAGGGTTGTAGATACGAAGGGATCGAGGATAATGCCTCGGAGACACTAGCTAGGGGACAGCAGTAGTGGTTTTGCTTGTCAGCGGTGTGTGTTACCTACTGGGCGTGATTGGGGCGAGGGGACGGTCGAAGGTTTTCAGGTAAAAGAGGAGATGGGGTGCGCTCACGCTGTTGCGGGGCGGCATCATCAACAGCACGGCAGTAAAAAACCGCGCATATGGGAAAACACGGCGGTCGCACAGAGATGGAACGGCCAGAACTTAGAACAAATATTCCAGGCGTGCATCAGACGGCCGTGCTGTGTCGGGAGCAGCAGTACTGCCGCACAATTACATACTACAAATCGGATGGCAAAACGACCGCGAACCAGCCAGACCCTGTACAAAAACAGCCGTGCTTTGACTCAGCTCTCTCGGTGTGGTGCAGGTTCAGTTACTGCTGTCGCGAACTAAAAGGATCGATCATCAGTCGGCAGTCGGCAGGTGCGGAGTGTCTGCTGTCCAGCAAAGCCACAGGTTCGTATCCCGTGACCCTCGCGTCTCTCCAAGGGCTTGCTAGCACGCCAACTGGTCAACACCAAGGCGTTCGTGTGACGAGACAGGAAGACTAGTAGCCGTCAGCGCTGGTGTTGGGTGTTGTGTGTGTTGTGTGGACAGCTCTGCACAGCAGTTGTGCCAAAGGGGGCGAAAGACGTTATTCTCCGAAGCAGATGAGGTAAAAATTGTGCCAAAGGGGGCGAAAGACGTTATTCTCCGAAGCAGATGAGGTAAAAAAACTAAAGGGACATGACTCTGTGTCAGCCTCTCACCTCTACAGAGTGTGTGCACAGAACCAACAACCTTCCAAAGCAAGAAAGCTTTCCCTCCTCGTCGCTTTTGCCTCTTGTCGGACTTCTCACATGGTGTTTCGGGACAGCAAAGAGCAGTGATGCGTCGTGTTATCACTTGGTTGGAGAAAGGGGGCTCCGTGATTTCGACAATACGCACGCACCACGCACGTCATTAGTTGAATATAACAGTCCCGCGTTGCCCCTTTGGAACGGAAAGTGGTCCAAGTGGAAAATGGCTGTTGGTTGCAAGCTCGTACGCAGATATGCTGTAGGTGTAGTGGGATACAACAAGAGGGCGATATATAGAGAGGGCGAGGGCAAAGCGAGGGTACTAGTGCGCGCACACAATCGACTTTAGCTCCAGGGCTGTCTCGGTGTGACGGCCTCCCAGCGAGGAAAGTGTTGTCGTACATGATGACCGCGATCCAAGCGGCGGATGCAACTGATGCGGCAGCCGCAGCCGCGATAATGCCAGCGGCAGGGACCGCAGGCCGCCACCGCCGACGGCCAGCAGCTTCGGCCTCTGCTGCTACCACCACGCACACGGCGGTGCTTCTCGCGTGGTGGGTGGTGGCATGCCTCGCTTCCGCGGCGCCCTCCGCTTCGGCAGCAGCAGCAGCAGCAGAAGTGCCTAGCCGAACGCCGCCGGTCCGCCATTCTTCCGACCAGCAGCGGAGCAACCCGCATTTCGGCGGCACGGCGGTCGCCGACCCCGTAACGACGACAGCACCGGGAGACCGATTTATGCAACCCACGACCACCGCAGGAGCCGCCAGCGGTGGTGCCCCACGACCGGAGACGGTCCATGCAGCTCGCCGGCACCGGCGGCGTGGTGACGGTGGGCCTATACCACCGGCTGCGAACACCGCAGCAGTATATAACGGCCGGCCCGCTGGTGATGACGGCGCTGTCGCATTGGCCAGACGCGCCGGCAACGGCGGTGGTGCTGCAAGGCGGCGTGCTCTGCTGGCGAGCGTCGGGACGCCTCGACAACAGAACGACAACGGCCGCGTGGCATCGGGGTTGGGATGGGGGGGTGGGGCGACGTCGCCGGGAGCGGCGGCTGTAGCGGTATCTCCTAGGCGACTGGGGGTGGCACACCCTACCGCAGCCGCCATACCCGGGACCAGCGGCTTGCCGACACAACCTACCGCCGACACCTCGCAACAATCTGCTGAAGAGCAGCAACAACCCGCACCGGCACCGACGACTTTGGCGTCAGCAGCGGGACCAGCAGCAGCTGATGTCCCGCAAGACATCTCCAGTTCAACAGGCTCTGGTGAGCTCACTGCGGAGCAAGTATGACATGGGACCTGCCGTGAATGGTTCTCTGCTTGTTGCACGTACATGTTGGTTCGTTGTGGGCTAGGGGGTCTAGTCAACATATGCAGCCAGCCGTTATTTCATACCGCTGCTGCGGCGATACAAACGGACGGTGCCGTTCGATCTGTTCCTCAAACAGCCAGCAAACAACCCAACAACCCGCGCTTCGTGTTTGGGCCGCCCTCTAGCTAGATGCGTGCGTATCCTGCGCACGATAAACTCGCAACGGCACCAGCCCGAAGTTCTAAACAACGATCGTTTTCATCACGTGTGGTCTACCGTACACATACAGCGGTTGTCTGAACCCGTGCCCCGACTTCTTCGCCCAACTTCACCCTCTGTTCCGCACCATGGCTGGCAATGTACATTGCCCTTGTTCCAGAAGATCCGCAGCAAACCCCAGCGGACGTAGCGGCCCGGCGAGAATACAATGCAGAAGGACAGCCGCACACGTCAGCTGTAACGGCTGTGTCGGCGGAGCACGTCGGGGGGGCGGGGATGGCTGCGAGAATGGCGTCTTGGGCGATGCCCGAGACACTTCGTGCGGCGAAGGCATGGAAAGTTTGATCTGTACCCAGCCCCGCCTTTGATAGAATCATGGCATGCAGGATGCTTGTTCCGCGGAGTCTTGGTTGGGAGCACGGATCCACACGATCCAATGCATGCGGTTCAACTTTGTGTGGATCGGGACATGATCGAGGCGGCAAGAAGAGGACATAGGCCGCGCTTGACGGGAACATCAATTAGTCTATGCCTTAGGGCATGGACGATGGATGCACCAAGCCGCCGCCGTTTGATGATGCTTGCAGCAGCTAGAGTACGATGCTCCACGCAAACATGCTCGTTGTTCATCGCTGCTGGATTGTATGCATCCAGCCGAGAGGGCAAACCCACAACATCCCGTATTATCTCGCACCCTACAACAGCGCAAGGAGACAGGCTTCGCCAATCGCGAGGCTACAGCCACCTGTGACCCCCACTCGCCCCCTCCTCCGCAACATGATCAAAGGTCTACAACAGCCAAACAAAGCATAAAAACGGAGCACCCCCCTCCCCCCCGCCCCCAACATGGCGCAGCTATTAGCGGCAGCAGGGTTTGTTCTCTGCGCAGCCCGATGGGTATCGGTGGCGGCTCGCGTGTTGGTGCTGCCTCGCCGAGCAGGACAAGATAGTTACCAGCAGCATCAGCAGCAGCGAGAGAAAGGAAGAGCGAAGGAGAGCAGGTCGAGGACGGGGAGCGGGAGAGCGGGGGCTAGCCGCGGAGGGCATGGCGGCGACGTCGGCGGCCGATCACGAAGCCGGAGAGCCCGGGAATCGGCCTTACCAAGCGGGACTCGGATTCCGCCGGACGTCGTGCCAAGCCTGAGCGAGGCCGAGCTAGAGGTGAGGAAGCAATGGCACTCATTCTTGTTGAATGAGTTAAGCGTACGCCTGACACGGGGTGGGCATTCTGCGGAAGGGGCCAGACCTCCGATGCTGGTTACGTTCTGCAGGGCATCGACAAGGTGATTGTTGCCTGGGTTAACATCGTGGGATACGTCGGGCTGCTGTGTACACGTATGCCTGGGAGACTACCATTCGCTGTTGAGGTCGGAAAATTCCGTGCACATCAAGCCGGCTTGGTAGGGCTGGCTCAGAAGGACCGTTTGTAAGGGTTTGCACGGCGGGTGGGTGGCCCGAACGGTCTTGCTCTCTTGCCGGCAAGGCCAAGCAACGCCAGCCTCTATGGATACGCCGGCCAGTGCTGCCGCCACGATTGCTAGAGTACAGCAGCACCCAGTCGTACCGGTCCTAGGGGGTGAGACCCTGTGTGTTCTCTACGGGACCTTCGTCTCACCCTTCCCGAAGGCCGCCTGGCACGCAGAGTTGTGACACATCGCGCGTCACAAGCCAACGGTTTCATTTTCTATCTTGTTTTTGATGCCACTGTCGGAGCTCACCGTAAAATGATGGGCCCGGTTTAGCAACCTCTAGTGTCAGGAGGAAAAATCATCTCTATTTAGGAACAGGTGGTGTAGCAGCTGTTAGCCCGGGTGCAGCGGTGCAACCCGATTGTGTGGTCGCTGAACAAGGCGTGTCGCTGCACAGGGGGGATACTAAACCGGACCCACCCCTGCGCATAACTTTGCCTTGCCGCCCCTGGCCCCTCTCGCGTATCCAAGGTAGCAGCTGATCTCGTGGACTGCGATAGGCTCGACGTTACTTTCGAGGACATCGCCGGCATGGAGGCCATGAAGCGATCTCTGCAGGAGATCATATCGGAGCCACTCGACCTCCCCACAGACTTGTACCCTGTGAGTGGATGGAGCGAAGGCCACGCGTTGTAGTTTCTACTCGAAGAGAAAAGCGCGTCGTTGTCGTCATCATCGTCTGTGTTGTTGTTGTTGTTGTTGTCGTTGTCGTTGTCTTTCAGCCCTCAGTCCTTCGCTGGCATCACTGCGTGGCATACCCCCGTCACCACGACCTCTTCACGCCCCCAACGGTACATGCCCCCCCCCCTCCCATTCACAGGCACGCCTCATCAAGCCCTGTACCGGAATCCTCATCTACGGACCCCCTGGCTGCGGGAAGACTCTCATCGCAAGAGCGGTCGCCAAGCAGAGCGGCGCGGCCTTCCTGAGCGTCAAGGCCTCCACGCTCATGAGGACATCCGCCGGCGGCGGCGGCGGCGGCGGCGGCGGGAGCGACCGCCGGTCAAATGACAGTCCCGGCTGTGGCGGCGGCGGGGTCGGGCACTCGAGTGTCATGGTCCGAGCCGTGTTCAGCCTCGCCCGGAAGGTCCAGCCCTGCATCGTCTTCCTGGATGAGGCCGACGGCCTGTGCTACAAGCGCGAAGAGGGAGACAGGGCGGTTAACAGGCGAGAAAGGAGTATAATTTATGAGAGAACGTGCGCGCGACTTTTTTCCCTGGAACTTTCTTCCTTTCCGTGGGGCTGGGGAATGGTGGAACAATGTCGCGAGGACAAGGAGGAAATGCAGTCGTGGGCCCGGGCGGTGTGCCAATCGCCTTCGACACCGCATTGGAGACCCCTCATCATTACGGACGTAGGGTTACTTTTGGCGGCGCCCGTGGATTTAGTACGTGGACTTCGCCCCCTCTACAGCAATGTTGGTCGCTACCGAACAAGGGCAGTGCCGTGCGGCAACCGTCCAACATGTCGTACCTACCCTTCTCAAGGAAACCGTCGGCGAGTGCTAAACGGCTGCGCGATGTCGTACGTTTGCCCGGTGAAACGAAACCTCCTTTTTTTCGGAAATGTTGTCGTGATTTCGCTCCTTTAGATTTGGCCATTGGGCCGTTTTCTTACGACGTGTTTTTTGTGGAAGTCCGTGCGTTTGCTCGCCTTGCAAAGACGAAGAGTTGACGGCGCTCATCGACAGCAGTCACTCGTCGTGGCCGATCCGCTGCACAACAACAACGACGCCGTCGAATGAACGCTAGCGCTGTGCGTGTACGCGCCCATCTCTCGAACAAACGCTCGGAAATCACGCCTCCGTGCGTGGTCTCGCAGAGGCATGATGACGGAGCTGATGCAACTTTGGGACGAGCTCTCCTGTTCGGGGCAGGACAGGCAGGACAGGGTTGTGGTGCTCGCCGCCACGAATCGACCCTGGGACCTCGACCCGGCGGTGCAGGTATACAGCCGTCCCCCGCTTAAGGATAGTCGCCCCCGCTTTAAGGACAACCATCCCTAAGGGCACCAATACTAAGCGCGGTCCCCGGTTTAAGGACAGTCGTCCCCAAAGATAGTCGTCGCCACTTTAAGGACAACCATCTATAGTGTAAGGGCACCAATACTAAGTACGGTCCCGGATTTAGAGACGGTCGTCTCCGATTGAAGGACAGCCGCCCCCTGCTTTAAGGGCAGTCTTCCCCGTAAGGATACTCGTCTCCGTTGTAAGCAACCATCCCTAGTGAAGGGCACCGATTTTGAGTACGGTCCCCGGTTTCAGGACAGTCGTCCCCGCTTTAAGGACACCAATGTTGAGGACGCTCAACCTTATTCTTCCCAATAGCAGGGTGCCCGGCAGAATGAAAAAAGTAGGTCCTCAACAACATCGCATGTATTTCGAACATCTAGAAAACTACCCTCCCCCGGCTAGGAGAAAGGTCGTGGAAGGCCCTCCTAACGTACCCCGTCGGTGGAAACGTGGCGATGCGCGGTCCATGGTGTAGGAACCACAAGGAAAAATATGACCATGAGTGCCCCCCGGGCATTCACCGACACGCCTGGTGCGTTTTTTTACGGTGGTTCTCGTCTCGCAGAGGCGTTTTTCTCGGTCGTTCCAGGTGGGCTTGCCCGACCGCAAGATGCGGAAGGCGGTGCTGATGAAGGCTCTCGAGGACGTGGAGGTGGAGGAGGGTTTCGACTGGCGGGAGTTGGCCGTCAAGACGGAGGGGTACAGCTGCGGGGACGTCGTGGAGCTCTGCCGAGAGGCACGTTATCGTTGTCGTTGTCGTTGTCGTTGTTGTTGTTGTTGAAGACATGTTGTCGTTGGAGCCGTTGTTGTTGATGTTTTTGTCGTCGTTGTCGTCGTTGTTGTCGCTGCTGCTGTTGATAGTGATGGTACAATTTCGCTCTCCCTTTCTTCGAAATGCCTCGTTTTCATGCCACAATGTGTTGTTGCTGAGGTTTCGCTCTTCTTCTCTTGTGATCAAAGGCTTCTGTTTTCATGCTATTGTGACCCGTCACCAGTGAGAGTTCGCGTGTTTCTTGTCTTGTGTTCAAAGACTCCTGCTGTTTTCCATGCTCGTAAAGAGTCCATTGCCGTTTTTGTCATTGCCTGCATGGAGGCAGTCGGTGAGAGGTCCGCTGCGGGAGGCGATGGACAGAAACCGCCGCCGGGCGGCGAAGCGCCAAAACCAGGGACTGCACCAGTCCAGGTTACGGCGGCCGCAGCAAGAGCAGCAGCAGCAGAAACGCCGGCGGCGACGGGGGTGGCAGGTACGGCTGCTTGTGTCGCCCCGCCCTCTTGTTGCGTGGGACCAAAGTTTGGACGAAGAGTTGGCACGTCCGCTCCTCCGCCACGGCAGGGGAGAGAAGAAGAACCAGCTTCACGTAACTTGTTTGGAAGTTTACGAAGACTTTTGTGCTCCTGGGTGTGCGCTGGCTTAGCGTTGCGTGTTTCCCGAGTGTCGACGGGAAATGCCCGCGGCTAAACACGCGATTGCCCCTACTCCCCTTTTGTATCCGATATCAGGAAGTCCACTTGTCCCCTACGAACAACCCGAAGATTGATGTCTCCATCCGTACGATCGGCGGATGGTAAGAATGAGGATGTCTTGATGCGAACCAAACACAGCAAAATTGAGCAATCGAATCGGTGGCATGTAAGCTACAGTAGCGCGCCGTTATCCCACAGCAGCAGCCAGAAGCACTTCATTTCACTCACTGCGGCTGGAATAATTTACAGGTAAGATTCGACATCTTCCCCGCTGTGGTTCCAGCGGCAAAAGTGAATGCACACCCTCTAGTCTTGAAGTCGTCCATTTGGCTATTCACCACCCGCAAAACGTAAGCTTGAGAAAACCAACAACATTACCCCCGTGTAGACCGGATTCTCACCCCGACATTCTCCTTCGGATTCTTTTTTGTGAGTAAACCTGTTTAAGGGTTAGTTAGCCTGTGACCGCGGGAATCAACCGCGTGAAGTGTTAGATCAGTGCGGACAGATGGAGGTACTGGGTGCAGCGATCGGAACGGTTTTTTAAACATACGAAGACAGCACCAGCAACAACAACAACAACAACAACTTCAACCCCCACCGCTAATCGTCGACCACCGCCCTGCTCGTTCGCCAGCGCGACGTCGGGCTGGCGGATTCGGAGGAGGCCGCCGTTGCAGCGGCGGCACCCGCAGAGGCGGCGGCTCTTCCGCCGGTTCGGATGCGGCCGCTCCGCATGTCTGACGTCACCTCCGCGCAGGCCCGGGTGGTGCCGGTGTTCTGGCAAGCGGAGGCGTTTCGCAACACGTACGAGGGGTACATGTGCTCCCTCATGGACCACGCAAGGAAGAAGTGGTCGCAATGATTTGGCCAGCACGGAGGATTAGATGTATGTATAATAGTCGTCGATCACCGTTGTGTCACCGTTGTGTGTGTGAACTGAACTGACTGCCGTCTCCTTTGCATTTAGAAGCATATCTAGTGCTGCGGACCCTCTGTTGCTGCGACGATACCGGACGAAATTTCGAGCCCACGTGTGTTTTTGGCCACCTAGAGACAGCAGTCCTAAGGTTGTGATCGCCCTGTCTAGGCCGGTGGCACGTACGTACGCTTGGTTCGGAGAAGGTTCTCGTGTAGTAACCTGCATAAGAATAATCAAAGCATTATATTACTTGTCAGCGTTGACTACATAAAGTCCAAAGTTTCGGTTTTGTGGTCAGAGGAGATTTGCCAAATGGTTTTATGCAGGCTTTTGTGTATACCGGTGTTTCAACAAGGGGAATCGTTCTGCGGGATATGTAACGGTTTGTCGGGGTGATCGGTCGAGCTTTTGGTCGTGCGTCGAGGTTATGATGCTTCGCGCCGCTTCGCAACCGGGTGTCTGAATAATTCCTATATCGCGCATCGACACATACATACCTTCGAAAGAACGAATGTTCCTGTTGCAGAGGTTGGTTGGTGCTATTACCGTTTTGTCTTGTACTATGTGTTGAAAGTTGCACCTGCGGTAAGTGCTGGGTGATACAGGGGACCATAGCCTTGTGGGCGGGATCCGGTGTATTTGTCGAATCGACTACGCTACTTTGACCTTGACTACCAACTTGGGCGCTGGAGTGAGCCGAAAGGGCATCCCCCAAAACTGCAAGGGTGAAGTGAGAGCCGGTATTCGCTCGGGATGTGATCGCACGGCGATAATTGGCCACGAACGTCCCAACCGCCTCCATTCATTCGTTTCATCGGCGATCCTGTTGATGGTGTCCCACCAAACCGTTGGAGGTGGTCAATTTTCCACCAGCAAGCGTTCAGCCCCATGCCAGGACGTTGGTTCTTTATCTCCTTCTTGTCCCGTCCATTTTGGATGCACGCCGGGAGTCTTGTCAGCAGTATGAACTCGTCATTTCTTGCGCTTCTTTTTTTGGGGGGGCAGCAACTGACTGTGTGCAGAATGGCGGTGCCACTGGTTGGCAGAATGTAAATGAATTGGATCCGGTTGTGTTTCTAATGTTGGTCGTGTTCAGCAGTAGTGTAGTCTAGACAATGCTGGAGGTATCGTCTATGGCAGCACATCGATATCTGCCAGGTGCCTGCTGACACACAACTTCGATGCAGTTGCGATGTCTTATTTTGAACCTAATAGTGGGCTCCATCAGTAAGTACAACCAGGGACCCTGTTGTCGAGAACCATGTAGCGAAGTGAGTGAATACTGTGCTTGTGTCCTGGAGATTCGACATGCTGCACCCCCCACAGCAGCACAGCAGGCACATGGTACAATACTCGGAAGCAATGGCAAATGAACATGAACACACCAATGAGTGACATGCCATCGCTTCATTGCCACTGGCCTTGGGGGCGACACCAAGCTTATGACTCTACTGTAGCACAGCCAGCTGCAACCCATCTTTTACCTTGTTAGGACGGCGAGCAGGACTGAAGGTAACATTGTGCTCATATGCATACGGAGTCGTCCGTCGTCTTCTCCTGTACACCACGCACCGCAGCAGCGCAGCAGCAGCAGTTTCTCAACGACAGACGTTGGGCGAATTGTCATTTGTAGCCTGGGGGGACGTGAAGAGCAAAGAAAGATAGGCCACATAATGCGTACATGATGTTTCGTGCGATGGCTGTGGGTGAGAGTTTGTGCATGCAGGCTCGATTTCCCACGACCCCCCTACAAATGACGAGTTTGGATATTTGGATCCATGGATCAACGGGTCCGCACTGCGGGTACGGACCTTTTTTTTTTTTTTGTTACCGACGGAAGGACAAATCGACAGTACAGCCGACAGCCGACCAAGAGGCACCATCGACGAAAAAAAATCCAAAACCGTTGGCTATCTCACGGGGTTTTGATTGATCTTACGCACACGTCACGACCACGCTATAAAAAGGGGCCATAGAGAAGCTCTCGACGTACGAATATGGTTGAAAGGTAGCCCTGTGCGAGGCTCGGGTGTCCTCTTGGTGCAGTAGGTAGAAAGCGACGGCTGCCCGCTTTTGCTCGACGACGTGTGCACGATATATATATATATCTCGTGTACGTACAACCCGTACTCGACGACGGGCGGCGAACACACTCATTCGTCTTCTACAGGACTGGCTCCGCTGCCGACAGAGGATCAAGGGCACACGCATGAGCAAGCGCTTCCAGGGATCATCGGGCCTTTGGATCCTGAAAAACATGACTACCGCAACGACGGCGGCGCGGTATCAACAGGTGTGGGCGTGATTTTCGTCGGGGAGCTGTCTCTGTTGCGATTGCATTACTCTGTAGTCTGGCGTCCTTTGGCAGAGGAGGGGACCGTACGTAAGTATATGTACCAATTATGTCTGACAACTTTGCGAGGACAGGCTGGTACTGTAGATTCGTCAACTCCCACACCCCCGTGGGCGTGTGGGCACCCTGCCTGAGGGCTGCCTGAGAGTGACCCAAGAGGAGTTCGGACGGGGTCTCAGCCACGAGACTACTGCTGTTATTCCTTGGACGATCATTTCATGTACGTCGTGCACCAAATGTTACGTGTTCGTCCTATCCATGATTCCGGGCGCCAGCGTACACCTCTCATCATACACTTCACCCATCAGCCGTATGCTACAGTGATATTCGTACAGAGACGTTTGGAATATATCTTGACACGCTCGCCACCTTGTTCCAGTCTCCGCCAGATCTTCAAATTATTACGTGCGATGACGAGCAGTTCACCGTGGTTTGATTTCCGGAGAGAGGAGGCACTGGTTTCCTTCTCCCCCTGCCACCCCTTCCTTGGGATGCACACAGACCCCAAGTTGCCGGCTGTACGAGGCGGCCTACTCGGGTTTTCACTTGACCGGCTATGGCACCGTCACTCATCTGTCATCGATGCCTCCATTTTTTTTCATTGAGAAAGTGATCATAAAAAATAATATATATAGAACAGCATACATATGCCGCCCTAAGCTAGCGTTTCGTACTCGCGTGGAATCGGCCGATGGTGGGCTTAAGTGTGCGGACACAAACAAGCAAATGTTGTGTTTTTCTCGAGGTGCGCCCGCGTAGGAGTGATTCCATGTCGATTTGTGCAATAGCATGCTCTCCTCGTACGACCGTCGACCAACAGACGACGAAGAGCAGAGAGGCGTACGAAGCCCAGCAGCTTGCGTTTCTACACCGACCTTTTACTGCGAGTGCCTCCCGCCGATCCCGGCCTAAATCGGCTGGCGCTGGGAGTTGGAACGGCAGTCGAGATCGCCCCGGCGGTGGCGGTGGCGGGACGAAGGAGAGCAGCTTTCCAAGCCCACCATCTTACCCGCCACCGGCGTATCACCCTGCTCCGGGCACCGGTGGTAGTGGCCACGGTGGCGGAGCACCGCGCGGCCACCCCCCGCCAGCTTTTGGTCGCAGGGTGAGCGGAGGGAGCGGGTCGTCAGCACACGGTGGTGATCCAAGAGGTGCGAGGCCGGGGAAACCTCGCACAAGGGTGCGTCCCAGCAGTGCCAATGCACGAGTCTACGGGACACCTGGAGCAGGCCAAGGAGTGGGTGTCGGGGCCGGAGGGGGGGGGGGGATTGGGCACAACAGCTCGGGCACCGGCGGGATCCCGAGAGGGGAGTACGTGCCCCGCTACGCAGCCGGCTATGGTGTGTGCGCGGCAGGTAGCGACAGCGGCAAGGCTGCAACAGGGGGGAGCCAAGGGCAGGCGAGTGCCTTTCACTTTTGAGCTGACTGCGGGTAGGTACTGCATGAAGTTTTCTTGGAAAGCGATGCTGTTTCGGTTGTGACTTAGGAATCTCTCGCGTTCCGCCTACACTAAGAGAAGGCACAGAAAAACAGAATTTCGTCTGGATTGGTACATCTTCGACAATCAATCCTTGGACTACAAACGCAAAGTCTGCATCAAATACGAAGCTGCAGAAGGCACGGACTTGTACGCGAGGCATAGTGCCATCCGCCACTCTATGTAACAGCATACTAAAATATTGGAAATGATGATAGTAAAAACTCAGCTTGTGACTCTCCTGCGAGGGACCTGTAACGTTCGGAACAGACCCAGCGGTGGTCCCCCACTCGTTACCAGACAAGCAACGGAACAAACAACACCAAAGTTCGAATACAACCTTACGTCGTCCGCAACCCGTCCGCCCGCCCCCCCACCCGCGTCTCCCAGCAGTACCGATCACACTCGCCCACACCGGCAGCAACCCAGGGGACCAGCACCACACCTCCATCGAGGCTTCAAGCACCTCCTCGGCCAAAGTCAGCGGCAGCGCGTCATCTGGACAGCACCACCGCGCCGCCGCCGGCACCGCCGCTACCCGCAACATCGACCGGCGGCGATTCAAGGGGGGCGGGGGTACCCGAGGTAGAGTGCGTGAAGAACGCGCCCCCCGGCGGTGCCGCCGGGGGTGGTGAACCGGCAACAGCTGCGGCGCCCCCTGGCGGCGCTACCGCCGGCAGAACCGAGTTTCGAGGCTCGGATCATGGAGGGGGAGGGGGATCATCGGCTCACCGGTCACACCGTCGCCCCCGCCCTCGATCCGCGGTAGCTCGGGTCGAAACCGCGTCTCACCATGGAAAGGCAAGAGCTGTTTGTTCGGCGCTTCACAAAAGAAGCATCGTCGTAAGGTTGTGGGGAATGTACTTGGGGGACAATTCCCGCTATTTCCATGCCCAGCGTTTCAGAACCTTGCCAGACTCGAGAGGAGAGAAAACCACGGGATTGTGGGTAGTCAGCGGGTAGAGTGGGTAGAGTGAGCATACATACCTCACTCTCGTTCCCTTCGTATGGAATAACCCCCCCACCTTGCAGATGGCCACCACGACACCGGCACCAACGACAGCAGCCACCCGGGCTGCGGTAGCAGTCACCACGAAGTTGAAGGCAGCGGCCGCTGCCGTCGCTTTCGCTACCCACCGCGGCTCTAGCGGTTCTAGCGGCGGCGACGGCGTCCGCGGTAGTGGAAACGTTAGTCGGGCAGGCGGCGGCCCGGTAGGCCGGACGCGGGTGGCTCCTCGACCTCAGTCGGCGGCGATGAGACGGAGCACGGTGACCGGCACATACGGGCAGAGGTGCGACGGGGGCTACAGAGCTGCGGGATAGAGTCAATGGGCATTCTCAACCATTTGAGCTGCCGAGTCATGCGGTGGGGGTAGATGGGCCGCAAAGCGGACTTGGGGGGTCGGCAAGCGGAAAGGGGCGGGGTAATTGCTGCTTGCTTATTTTGTCGTCTTCAGGCTAGAGTAGTATACTGCGAATGCGCCTCATGGATTATTTCGTTTGACCTGTTCGAACAGCGCATCGGAGCGTGGAAACCGAGGATGTTGTAATAGATAGGTGAAATTCTGTTTCATGTGAGCTCGACATTCCTCGATAGTCGTTCTCGCTGGGCGTTTTTCACAAGCGGGAAAAAGAGGAACCGCGGTGTTGGGATGGGGGTTGGGAATCAGATGGAGCAACCTAATCCTAAGGATGGCGTTGTGCTGCTGAAGTTCACGCACGGTAGACCTCCTACTGTGAGTACTTTAGTGAACACACTACCCCGTGACCTGAGCAAGTCGCCAAGGATACCCAAACATTGTAAAAAATCAACGCGCCGATTTCAAGTAAAATCTACTTGACTTCTCAACGCGCCTTCACCAAGTAGCTTCTACGCTTTTTCCCCCTCAGCCAAGAAGTTTTGGTAACTCACCCCTCGGCGGGGATTTGTGATGAATTTCAGGCGGATAGTCTTTGGCCCCGCTGAGCCTTCTCCCCTCTTCTGGACGCATATAGTTCCATCAATCCTGTTTAGTTATATCATGGGTACGTTGCCTTCGACGCACAGGAGCCAACGAGAGAGCATGGAGCGCGTGATGGCCAGGATCTTTCAGCAGCAAAGGCACTGGGCAGGCGAGCAGGGAGGCAAAAAGGGGATTATCGAAGGTCAGCTGTTTAGTGTAGCCCTTGACATTGATCCCTCGCTTGGAGACGAGGTGAAAAGTTGTGCACGAAATCCGTTGAGATGGTGGGAGTGCCCCTGTCGTCGTTTCGAAATGACTCAATTCGTACTATTTTTGGACTATCGTGGTGAATTATTCCAGTGCGACACGAACGCTGCAGTACAAGTGTCTCCGAACGCTGCAGTACAAGTATCTCTGCGGCCGGTTTACATGTCTCTACTATCTCAACCATTACGCTTCCCTCCGAAACCAGCACACACCATTGTAGAAATTTCGGGTTACGGAGCCTCCAAACTGTACACACAACGGATCACGTAAAACCACTAACGTAGAACACCATTGCTCAAACTCCCAGTCCTGATATGACCCTCTCGCAACGGCTGCCGCAAAGCACCTTCGAAAGAAAAGGGGAGGGATGGTGGTGAAAACAAGGCGCTACAAGCCACAACATCAATGCGACTACCCTATTCCGCGTGAGCTCCAAAAGTAGTCCTCTCCGATTCTATGGATGGGCCATGATCCTCGGTACTTGTGCTTTCACCAAGCGCTGTCTACGGCACCGTCTAGCCAACAGAACGAGCACCTGCTAGATGCACCTCTCTTGGAACCGAGAGAACCGAATCAACATGACTGGAGTCAAGCAGCCACCGAAGACAGCAAAACTAGGCGTGTTTGGTAGACGTATCCCAGTCCTCCCGCCGCACAATCGACGTCAGTTCGTTCCGTCTAAGAACAACGATTGTTTGACCATCGATTATCGCCGGAACGTCAAGACGATCATGACCATACCTGTATCAGCCTCGAGGGTCCTCCAGCCCCTGGGGCACCGCTACATCAATTTTCCTCAATTCTTGCCTCGTTCTGCCTTTATCCAATCATCCCGTTCGAACGATGAAACACCTCGTCTGACGTTCCTCAACGCCCTCTTCCCTTCCCGCCCGTCCCTGAAGGCAACCCGAAAACGCGGCAAGCCCGACAGACTCGCCGCCCGCAGTCCGCCCACACCGCGCCTCCCTGCTCGACGGCTGCTGCCGTCACCGCCAAAGAGCAACAGCAGCAGCAGGCCCATCACCCAAACCCGAAGCCGCACACTTGGGTGCCGGCGACGCCTGCCAAGACTTCTTCCGCCCTCATGGCCGCGGCGGCGGCGGCGGCGGCGCGGAGCTCTCCGAACAGTGGTGGCAAACACTCGCACGCCGTGGCGGGAGGAGAAGGGAAAACATCGACGGCGCCGGCGACGGGGCGAGGAGGGGCGTACGCCCGCCTATTCGGGATGAAACACCCCGGGGCGCATCGACGGGTAGGCGTGGACCCTCTAGACGGCTTCAAGAAGGACCACTACCGGGGGGGTGCAGCAGCAGCAGCAGCAGCAGCAGCAGCCGTCGATGCGAGCGCGCCCTTTTCCGGCGACATCGGCGGGGTGAAACACGGGCAGGGGGCGGGCGTAGAAGAGGTGTCTAAGCCCAGGAAAGCGGCTGGGGATGTGAGTCTCGACGGGAAGCGAGGAAACAGGGACCAAATGATATAGTTGGGGGCTGTCTTAGTATGCTTGGATTTTGACTTCTGTCGATCCTCGGCTGAGCCCTGGACATTTCGTTGCGGCCTTTTGGATAGACAGCTGTTTTCGAAGAGCTCCCTAGTTTGACCGTGTGGTCTGCGCTGATAATCGTCTGAGGTGATCGCTCAGAGCGCCTGAACGAGGTGCATCACACAAGGAGAGCGCTTGCGTGGAACACCAAATTGTTTTCGTTGTTTTGCTCATAGGTACCTCTATACGTACTGTCATTTTGTCCGACCTAAAGCACGGAGCACGATACAGCAGCGATGCCGACGAACCGCCGTCCTCTCCAACGCACCCCCACGCACATGACACTCATTTTCACCCCCCGCCCCGAATGACGAAATACTTCCGTTGGTGGGCAGACAAACGCTGTAGAAACCCAGGCGACTATTTCCACCGCAAACACCGGCTCGCTCACTCCTCCCGAGGGAAGTAGCAGCGCCGAGGGGGGCCGCGCAACTGGGGAGGGGGGGATACGCGCCCCGCCCCCGGTGGAGCCGCTGACCAAAGCCTCGGCAGAGTGTTGCAGCCCTCAGGTACGTGCTCCTCGAGGTCGCCGGTCGGGAGCGTGTCCAGAATAATGTCAACAGTGGTAGTTGGTGTCAAGCTGCTAGCGTGGCGGAATATCGGACAAGCGTACACGCTTTGCATCCCGTTTCGCGTCGTTGCAAAATACATTGTTCCTTGTACGTGGGGCCAAATTTCCCTACTGTTAAGGCTCGGCCAAATATCACCACGCCATGCGATGACTCGCCTGGCGGGAAACCCTTGGGGGGGCATGTTTTCTAAAACGATGCCAATGACCGGCTATTGCATCGGCTCGTTTGTAGTTTACGTACTGCGGCTGCTTAACAGATATTGTTCATAGAAGGCTCTCCCTCTTTACGCAAGTATCCTGAGAAAACAAGACATGAAGGACTCCCTGAATGTTTGCGCGTTAAACGTCGTCGAAACAGGAACGGCTGTACCTCCGGAGACTACTGCTTGACCTGCAAGGCAGCGCTCGCAGCAGTCTGGACTTCTATCGCCTGGGCAAGGTTGTCGGAGAGGGATCGTTTGCCCAGGTACCTACCTACGTACCTATATACCTCGTGCCGCGGGGGATTTTTACTACGCAAGTATTTGTCGCGCGCGGGGCTCTAAGGCGGCGGTGGAAACAACTAACACTTGGGAGTTGATGCCGGTGTTGTCTGTTTCTGTGAAGGGTTGGCTAAACGGCTGGAATCAAGAGTAGAACCGATTTTGCGACATGAATGGAGATGCGATCGTTCGAACATCCTACAGTTGAGCAACGGACGCGCGTCGAAGGGGGAAGCGGGTATAAATATGTCAGGAGGGAAGAAAGCTTTCTTGTTTTCCTCTTGCGTGCTCTCTTTTTGCTGGTTAATTTTATTCTATTTTGACGTGAGATAACGAACGTGGTGCCATACGATCGTGTGCGTTTTGAGCGAAGGTTCGAGTGGCGTGGCACAAATTGACGGGGCAGCGAGTAGCCGTCAAGACCTACGAGAAGGCCAAGATAAAGGTAAGGCCAGACGGTTCGGAGTACAACCCGTTTCTCGTCGGCTGGGGGTTTACGGGTGGACAGGAGTCGGCATGAACTGCTGCAACGTATCATTCAGCTTCTACCGTCGGGCGAAGCACCCGCTGTCCAAATCACGGTTCGTTCCAGCGCAGCTTGTACCCTGACCGAGGAGCTCGGAAACTTGCGGCATTCAGCGTATTGACGGCTTTCGACGTAAGCGTTGGCGACACCTCCTCATGTTGCCTTTCGCGGGTAATTCGCTTCTACGTTTCGTCCGCAGGATGAGAACCAATGGAAGCGGATATCTCAGGAGGTGAAGCTCATGGAAAAGCTCAACCACCCTCGGGTGATTAGGCTATTCGAAACGGTGAGCTTGACACTCCGACGTTTGAGGGCCGACGTGATTCGGGGGTTGGTGTATGAAGGGCATTTGGTCATACGTTCCTACAGTTTTGGTGGGTGTATTCCATGACATCAGTCGCTCTTTCTCGTTGGGGGTTCTGTCTCGGAGAAGAAAACTGTTTCTAGAACAGAAAATGCATGAGCGTATCGGAGTCGCTCCTGGAAACTTGAATGGCGCCATCAGCAGCTGCCCGAGCGAATCAGATGCCTTCTTCAAATATCAAGACTGTTCGACGATCCCTTATCCCTCAAAACAAAGTCTACCGCACCACCCAAGTCGATTTAAATCTCCAACCCCCTTCGCCACCCTAGATGCCCCTTGGAAAAGCCTTCAAGCACGGTATGTCTACATGATAAAATAGGAAAGTTTGTTCGTCGAACAGACAGAGTAAACTGCGGTTTATTGAGGTGACAGTTTCGGATTGTAGTTTCATTAATTGTTCGGAAATTTGGGGTCACCGGGGGATGAAAGTAGAACCCCCTCCTGCCATTCCGTTGACAAGAAAGCACGCAGCGGTGTAGCAAGTTGAGTGACGAATGGAAGCTACAGAGCGTGCGGAGATAAGGAACGACGGCAGTGGCGGCCCACCGTAGACGGCGGCAGCATAATAGCGAAAATCGTTATCGCGGGCCGAGGGAGGGCGCCAACGCAGACGTGTGCGAGGTGTGAGGCGGGCGCCGGACACCATGGTAAAATCCTGTCGCTTTCGTCATACAACAGAGGAATAGCAATGTGCGATGATCCGATCGGAATTATACTGCTTGTCTAGGCCGAGAGCTCCAAGAGGATTCACCTCGTGATGGAGTACGCCGACGGCGGCAACCTGTGCTCGTACGTGAAGCGCCGAAAGCGGTTGGATGAGGGAGAGGCTCGACGCATCCTTCGCCAGCTTCTCGAGGGGGTGGGTGAAAAGCGTCATCGTAGCAACCATATACCTCACACTCCGTCATTCCGCCAGCTATCGGTACAATGGAAGATCCAACACAAGATCTTGACCGCCTGCGCGCGAAGTCTAGGAACGGTCTGTTCCTACATGTATCAGACGGTATTACTTGATGTGAGCAACAACCGGAGGTGACGCGCATGTGAGCCCGGCATTGTGCGCAGCCGGATCCATGTTTCGCAAGTCCGACAGAGCCTGCTCTACCAGCGCATGCATCAAGGCACTTCTTGCGCATAGCTCCAGCCGGCTTGGTAGTGCCACTTTTACAAGTGATGACCTCCATGCATTTGATTGTGGCTTGGACTAACATCCGCCTGTAGGTGGACTACATGCACGGCCTCGACATCGTGCATCGCGACATCAAGCTGGAAAACGTCCTCCTGGGCGGGAGCGGTCGTTCCAACGCCAAGCTGGTCGACTTCGGCTTCAGCGCTAACGTCAAGAACCGAAGGCTTCTTCACGTCTTTTGCGGTGAGTTCGATGGTCATGATGGTGCCTCACCGCAGTGATCCACAAAACAATGTCCCTAGCGGTTTCCTAACATCCCACAAGTAGCGAGAGAAAGAAGGCAAGGGATTAAATCATCCAAGAAGCAAGTCCCGAACGGCACCCAACGCTGAAAATAGTAGACCTAAACGGTGTGTCGAATACTGAAGTCTCGAACCGCCCCACGAGCTGAACACGAAAGGCCAAGTAGTCTGAAGTCGCACGTTTTGGACCGTCCGCCCTGGATTTACGGTCGGCTCTCTGCAACTACCTAGTTGAGTGTCCAGTTGGTGTTTCCTCGATCCACAGGCTGTAGAGTCAAGAAACAGTAGCACTTCCGCAGAAGCAAGCAGGAGCATGAAGAGCAGGGCGGAAAAACGACGTCTTTTGCACGTCAGCCAGAAGACAATGACGCGACAAACGGGCCAATCGCAAGAAACTCGGCGCACACTAGACACACACCTTCGGTGTACGAAACACCGGGATAACCCTGACTGTTCGCCCGCCATCCGCTAGGCACGCCTTCGTACATGCCGCCGGAAATAATCAAGCGCCAGGAGTACGAGGGGAAGCCTGTCGATGTTTGGAGCCTCGGAGTCGTCCTGTACGCAATGCTCTGCGGGTACGTGTGCCTGCACGACAGGAAAATAAACCACACTCACAGGCGTAGGCGGTGTCGGGATTTGGTGGGGCAGTGTGGGCTTCGACTGCGTTCATTTGAGTCTTTCTTTCCACCAAGCGAAATGAACACATGGCCTGGTGGCGGAATGTTTACTCATGTCCTTGTGCCTCCCACGTAGCCTAAAGTTCAAAACGGCCACAGGATCGTTGTAGCAGTACCATAGTGACGTTGGCCCGGTTGTTCTGCTATCTTCGTGGCTAACAGCGTCAGGTATATATTTCGGTGGGCACCGGGAAGGTAAAGCGATGCCGGACAGACTTCCCGTGGATGTGACACTTGGATTGATTTCGGGGTTACTCTGCGCTTCCGTTCGTGCTTTGAAGAAGACAGGAAACGGGTCGAGCAGCACGAATCAAGCGCGAGTTCGAGAAAAAGAGCATGTTGTCCATACCTGAAATTCGTTTTTGATGTGTGCACAGGCATTGCTTCGGCGTCCACATTGCAAGGCACCGCCGATCTTTTTTTTCCATCGTGTCTACCAGCGGCTTGCCTGGTACACGTGTCCCGTCCCCCCTCCCCTATCGGGAGGTCCTTTGCTTACACATGTCTCATCCAACCATTTTTTGTGCGTCCTTTTCTTCCCCTCCCTAATCCGCGTCGTGATGTGAAAACACGACGTACTCCGTTCCGGCTTTGTAGGAATGCGAGATCAAAGGTCTAACCACTACGGCATGCGTTTTCATGAGTACCTCCCCCCCATTCCGAATCCTGTTGGCTTACCAAAGCCAGAAACCTCTTATTCGCTTTCTTGCCCCCCTGTCGAACTTCTTCTCCTTGTCGGTTGTCCTCCTTTTTTTGTGCGGTGCAATCACGCCTCATGATCCGCGAAACAAAGTTGCTTCCCCTTCTCCGGGCCGAGATACCCCGAGCTCTACAAGAACATATCCAAGGGCGTGTTCCGACTGCCGGATTGGCTGTCGCCAGCGGCGATAAGTCTCGTTCGAGGAATGCTTGTAACGGATCCTTCTCGGCGGCTCACCCTCCGCCAGGTGAGCTGCTGTTGTTGTTGTTGTTGTTGTTGTTGTCGTCGTTGTTGTTGTTTGTGTTGTGTTCGTTGTTTCGCTCTCTTTTTTCAAATCCCCCTGTTTTTTGCCACCCTGATGTTGTTCTGGATTGCTGTTGCCGTCGTAGTCTTGTCTTCTATTGGTTGTTTTTGCTGCGATCGTGGTATTCAAGTCTTCTCTCCAAGTATAAGACACAGGCTTCGCGTCGACGTCCGTAGTTTGCAAGTGGTGAGGTGCAGAGAGTTGGTGACAAACTAACCCGAGCCTTTATCGACAGGTTTGCGCTCACCCATGGGTCTTGCCGCCCCGAGCGACGGGCAGGGTGTCCACCGGGAATCAGTACCGGGGCTTGGCGGCCTCCGATGGGGGTGCCGTTGCTGATGAGTCGCAGTCGTCGCGAATACCACACGATAGCCGGGGCAGTTCAACTCCCCTCAAGAGGGACAGCTTCCACATCAGCAACGATCCTACCCGTGACATTTGCGCGACGAGCGTGAAGAAAATGGAGGCTTTTGGGGCTAACGGGGAAGAAATCGCTCGACAGGTGAGCTGTTCGGGCAGCACGACTTAATGCTTGTGCATTTTTCCTTTTTTGACCTTCTGTTGCCGAAACTCAGGTGTAAAGATAAAATCTTCAGAGAATGTTCAATTGAAGTAGAAAAAATCCCGGAGCTTACAACGGGCTTACATATGAAACTTGTGGAGATCACCGGTTGATTTCTCGATCCGTTGCCATAGTTCGAGCGCCGGTGCAAAGGTCGGCAGCTCGGAAGGTGTTGTGGACGGTGTGTTCATGCCCGCATGCCGCCTGAAATCATCTGTGTTCCAACCGCCCTCCATCTGCATGTGGTGCGTTCACTCTCTATAGGGTAAACTACTGCTTTGGGCGTACGTGCGCGAATGCGGAGAACCCTTGTTTCTCCCGAGATGCCGGCCGGCCTTGATAGAAACGACTCCAGAAGCGACCGTCCCGCAGTGTTTCCCCACCACATTATCGTTCGTGCCCGGCTCGTGGTGACGGCGTGAACCATGTTGCACAGAGCGCAACAACTCCCGTCGCGCGTGATCGGAAGCAGAACCAATCAAAAGTCGCGCGCTTTTTGTTCCCTCCGTCGAAACCACCGCACCGTCGCGTTACTCTACCCAGGTGCTTGCCCGACGGCACAGCTGCCTCACAACAACCTTCTATCTGCTCAGGAACGAACTCAGCACAAACGGTGCGGCGGCGGAGGCGGGTGCGCCTCGACCAGCGAGTGCGACTAGCAGCTCGAGTAGAGGCGCGGCTAAGCCCCGGCACGCGAACGTTAGACCGAGCAGCGCGAGTGGGGACAACCGGGGTGGTGCTGGGATGGCCAAGAGAAGGGATAGCAGGGGTGGAAGCGGAAACAGTAGTGCTAGCCAAGGCACTGGCAGGACCGAATGATGGCCGAAGGCGCACGCTGAGAATAGCAAAGCGTGGAGAACTGCTGGCTTGGGGCACTTCATCATTTGGAAGTGCCTTCTTTGCGGAAGCTGGCAGATTTGTGTGAAGGACGTCCAGCAGAACGGCTTCAATACCCCGAATACCGAGAGACCGGGTAGTGCCCCTGGTCTACATACTTCACCGGGTTTCCAATCCTTAGGCGAAAACGAACACACTCATACGGTGCCTGTACAATAGGCTCGCATGATTGACGAGTTAGATCATAGTATAGGCGTTCTGTACGATACACTGGCACCGCGTGTAGGTTAGGTTGAGGAGACCGACCCCGTCGATAGATCTGGGCGGATGGCGTCAAGACTAAGCGGCAATGCCTCTTGCTAACGGCATATCTTTTCGTCAAAGGCGTTCTTTGAGGAAACTGCACGGGTTGAGCGTACCTTTGTCTATGGGGTGCCGAGTCTAAACAAACCTCCCGAGACACCCGGGGGGAATCAGGTGGAGGGAGAACCTCATCCCGGCAACGGAGGGCTCAATTGAGGCGGTATACAGGGGTCAGGGTTAGGGTTAGTTGGGCCCACAAGCCGATGACAATTGAAAACCGCGAATGCCACAGGCAGGCGTTGGTTGGTTGCGGGGAGAAGCCAATCCAAGGATTGTCTTTCTTCCACACGTGTACCACCTTGCCGAGAAGATTTTCAGTTCCGCACAACAGGGTGCGATCCGCACAGGGTGTGCTGTCCCACGCCGAGCTTCTTAAACAGAAATGCAAGTGTTGTCACTGCGAAATACCATCATGCGACAAAGAGTTCCGCGAGTTGTCCCTAGTATTTGTCGTCGACCATCAGTGTGCCCTACCCCCCCCGTCAAGTTTTCGGGGGCGCTGGAACGGTCGCAGCGTAGACAAACGTGTCGCCTCGAGACTGCCACCTGAACATTGCGACGAAACCACGTGCTTCAAGTGCATCGAAAAAGAGCGCATCGAAAATGACGAGACTATCCACCAGCAAAGCAGGCGTAACGTTCCTCTTGTAGGGCTGTGCTGACTAATTCGAGGCCACCATTGCCAAGCGCCACAGGTGACCCTGTCGTGCCGGTGTGGGTGTCTCCACGCGACACGCTCTGCAGAACAGAATAACAATTAAATAGATAATCCATGGCGCCGCATCGTCGATGCGGAAGCTGCGGCTGATTTGGCGATACCTTGCCACAATGAACCGTTTCAACGCTTCTGGCGGTGCGCGCTACAAGACAAATGCCTCAAAAAAACCAGCGGCGAATTCATCAGCGGTTATTCTTGGAGCAGTCTGAAGCCGAGGCGAGCTCCTCGCGAAAGCGTCCCACGACAGCTGCGGCATCCGCAGCGCGAGTAGCATCCTCCGTATTGTTTTCTGATCCAATCGACCACAGTTTGACGGGTCATGCAATTCTGGTACGGAACGAATCGCGAATACGGAAGGTCATTGCGGCAATCGCCAAAATCAGGCTTGGTCGTGCCTCTCAGTATAGATTCGGATCCGTGTGTACGGGCATACCCACAAGGGCTAAATACAAAAAGTGGCGAGCGGTGCCATCCCCAAGGGCCTATATCAGCAGTGAACGCCGAACCGTCGGAGGTACTTGTTCACTTGAAATAGTGAGCGACGTGAGGACGATAGAACTACATAGCAAATTGTCCTCTAGCTCATTCATGGCATTCGTTACGGTTCCCGGGGTCGCCAATTTGGTTCTGAGTTGTTTCACCAGAAATAAATTTAGTAATCGTTTGATCTGTTGTACATCGTCTACGGTTCGCTTATGAATGAGCATGCCATCATTATTTTCTGCTGATTTTCGCTACATTATGACCACAACATACCGAAGAGTCTCTTCGCATCCTCTAGCTGAAGGGTCACCGGTGCCCCGCCCCCATGCTTGCTGAAGCGCTTGACGTCCTGTTGGAGATATTTGATGTTTAATTGGGTACTTTTTCCACATTCATGTGAAATATATAAGTTGGAGTGAAGTGATCATAGCGAGAACGAGTGAGTTGGAACAAAATTGGACCGTGGCTGAAACCAAGCATGTGGCAACTACATGTAAATACAGGAGTGAGCAACCAGATTCATTGGATCGCTTGACAAACATATTGAGGCAAATATACGCTGTGCAGACAAGATTCTCGCACTTGGAGGTTTGGAAGGAAAGTGAACAGTCGTGTTGTGCCATGGTTTCTTCCTCAGAGACAAGCGTATCTGACCACTCGTCAAGTCCCTGCTCGACAGTGAGTGAGTGTGCACTTCGAAGAAGTCAAGCTGTTCAACTTTTCACTCTCACCATGGAATTTTCATACTCGATCAGGTGTCGGATAAGGTGATGCTGCGCCGTCGATGCCTTGTTGAAGATCACAGGTACGAGCTCACCTACTTCGACACTACCGGACATATCCTGGATCGTGAGAGTTACGGGTGAAGTATTGCCGGGATGTGTTGGTGGGAAGGGTTGTTCGCGGGGCTCGTCCTTCCAACTTCGACCAACATTCTTGTGAGAAAGGACAACGTTCAGACGATCCGAAGGCAAGCTTGCGCAGTTCTCGGTGTTACAATACAAACCTTGTCCAGGTGAAGAAACATACTGCGCATGTTGATAACTGCCACGTTGCTCTTGAAACGGTCAAGGAACCGCCGCCACTCCTCGGAATCGAGACAGCCGCTCATATCCTCGTCCACAAAGTTGAAAGCGGCTGCAGCCACATCATGATGTTCAAAATACAAAGCATCATCAGCCCGCGCAGCGGAAAGCGGGTTGGAAAAAGCAAGATCGCGCAGGGACGGGTACAGGCAAAAGTCAAGTTGGGTGCGTGGGCGCCCTTCACTCATTTTCAAGCAATCCATAAACGAAAGGTCAGGCCAGTGGATCGCGCCAGTGGGTCGTACCAACGCCGTTGTATGAATCATCGGCGACGTCTCACGAACGGCCGCTCACATAACTTCCGTCCTTCCCAGTTTTGTTTGAACGAAGAAAGAAGAAGTGTGTGTGATCGTGAAATCCAAAAAGTTCTTTGATACCGAACGTGTGGTTACGACATCTGAGCCGGTGATGATCGAGAAAATTTTGCGAAGGTACATTTCGTCCCCCAATTTTGTTGCAAGATCACGGGGCACACGATAGTATTACCCAAACTGTGGCCACCACCCACCACCACCACCACTACCACCATGACCACCACCGCACCAACACCACAGTCCATCCACGTAGGTGAACAGTGCTCAGCTTCGTGTTGTGTATCGTGCCTGCCGTTAGGGCGAAGGGCTATGCGCGCGTGCAGTATGCCGGAAGACGGGGATGCGTGACGCGTGGCTGAGAGCTACGTTCTGCCGAAAATACGGTTGAAATGACGCTCACCCCTAAATTCCATTACGGCCTGAAGAGTGTAGTGCGGCCCCAACTGTCCTGGGCGGGGTCCCTTGGCCAACGGATTTCTGTTGAGTTTTCGCCTCTGCCGGTCTCTCGCTTCTCTGATTCAGGATGTCCAGTTGCAAGAGCGAGAGTGAAAAATAACGAACTTGCTCGGTAAAGTCGTTTCGAAGTGGCTGCCTCGCTATACGCCGTCATGGCAGCGAGACAACTGTCTGTGTGTCACAGCGATGCCGACAAAGGGGGAAGGGGAAGCACGAGTACCCGATCTTTTTACATCTACCCTCACGAGCACAACAACAGCAACACCAACGTCGGCCTTATCCGAACGTGCCAAAAGAATGCGAAGGCACGCCAGACCGAATCCTCGGCAAGCATGTAGGGGAGAGCTCTTCCGGAAACAGGACAGCAGTTTCTCGGGAGAGAATCCATTCTATACCTCCGCCTTGCGTGGTCGTTTCCTTTTACCAGAAGCGCGATGATCTTCTGCTGCAGCTTGACCAGTTCCTTGCTCCTCTTCTGGACCTCGACGGGCACGAGGTGGGCCCTACCGCTCCCGCTGGCCTATTCGGTGGCCCCGCGGGCAGCACAAGCGGGCGGGGGTGTTTGGCGGATGGCCGCTGTGATATTGTGTGAGCGGATGTTTGCAATGCCAACGAAATGGCCCCTCGCCGTTGGCAAGCGCGGAGAGGAAATTGATTGTACGAAAGCATCAAAGAGAGGAAATCTCGAAGGTTAGACCGAGACAGGAGGGGGTTGTGCGGAAGCAGATGCCAAGGAGAGAAATATGTTGCTGAGAAAACACCAATCGGAATCACGAACAAGATTCTTTCGAACAAGTTTCTTCTTTTTCAAGTACTTCAGGAGGGCCACAGGTAGGCCAAAGGGGACCGATCCATGGAAGATCGGTTTATCAGGGTCAAATTTTGGTTTCGCTGTCAACGTTGGACCCTATTTCCAACCCAACACTTCTCACGTTTCGAATGATTCCGTCACGCGTCGGCTCGGTGTTGAGCTGCTCCCTGTCACAGTCCTTCTCGTCACGTCCGTGCTCGTTGACCCTCTCACTCCGTCCCCGCCGCGCTTTGTGTGCCGTAGCAGCGCTGTTGTCAACAACACCAGTAGCAGTACTCGCCGCTTTGCCCTTGTTGTCAGCGAGTGCCGTTGGTGAAGGCGGCGACAGCGATCCTTCTGCGTCTGTTTTTTCTGCCTCCTTTGTCGATGTCTTCGTGATCTCCGCATCTGCCCCTGCTTCGGCTTTGCTCGAAGCCGTTTCTGCTGGTGCTGCCGAACCGTCTCCGATTGAAATTGTTGCAGCGGACGTCGGTCGCCTTGCTTCGCCGAACGGTGCCGACATGTCGTCGTCGAATTTGCTCTGGAGGTACTCAATGCGATCGGCGGGCAGCGCCGAAAGGGGACGGCTGCACCAATCCCAGTTCCATTTTCCAGGGAGCGTGGCCGCAGAAGACAGCAATGGCATTTTCTTCAAAACATGCGGTCGCGCACAGAAAGCATGCGTATGTGGTGCGTATCAGCCGAAGGTGAGGTGCAACGTTGCTGGATGTTCAGGGCTACAAATATACAAAATAAGTACGTCTCCTGGAGTGGACGAACAATACCGCCCAAGGAATGAACTTGGCCATGCTTGCTTTCGGTGGAGAAATCGCCCAAACGCTCCCTGCGGGCTGTGCATCAATGCACCGACAGTGAATCGCTCTTCGGGTGGCCCCATTTCGGTTCACGGGGTATTCAATTTCTTGCAAATTGTGTGGCGATATGAGCTACCAACAAGAACTGGTCGAAAACCCATACATCCAACCTGGCTACGCCAGCCTCACAACTCGGTGCTTGGAAGAAACCGTTCAACCGTTGACCACCACCACTTGGAAGTATGACAACATGGGATCGGTTCAACTGTCGCGTGCGAAATATCCTAGAGATCCTTCCAACCACCAATTCACGCCACCCCATGTGGGGCTCGGCGACGGTTTACGTTTAGTGGCTTGATTGATCCACACCTTTCCGGACAAAATTCTGCTCGTCTTAATCGCCCGCCTCGCCGTGCTTCTCCTGAACGCATAGGTGTCCTCCCAGCCGGGCCCCCTGTTCAATGCAACCCGTGTTCCGCCTGGGACCGCGTCGTCTCGACCGTGCCGCGTGGCCGCAAACCAGTCGTTCGCGGCGCTCGCGACTCCCCCCACGCCCCCCCGACCGTGGCGCGCGGTGCTACTCCCGCTTCCGACCCCTCCGCCTTCCAGTTCAAGTATCGCTTGGACTTCGTCGTCGGAGTCTTCTAAATCAGACCCCTCCGGACCAGTACCCGAGTCGTCCCGTGCTCCCCAAGAAACCTATCGTCGTAAAAAAATCCACGGAATTTTCACGCGGCTGGAAATCAGTGGCACACGAGGTTCTCCTGCTCCTGTTCGTTGGTTTCGCAACAGAATTCTGCACCGCCCTTCCAACAACCGGACCACATCAATTTTCTTCTTGAAAGGCGTGCTCCTACCGGTTTTCCTGTTCACTTCGCGATCCTCACTTTTTCCGAAGCCGAAGTGTTCCCAATTTGAGGGAGATCCTGAAATGTGGACGTGGAACTTGAGGACAAGTCCAAAACTGTGGCGGAAGTCGTTCCTCCTCCGACGTGCCGGCCGCTGTGGATGTCCCTCCGACAACGAGAACCTGTTCGCGCGACCGGCACGTCCCGCTGGAGGTCCCTGTCAGGCGAGAAAGCGGGAGGGCGGGAAGGACAGCGGTGCGGTAATGGTTGTGGTGTTTGTATGTGGGCAAGATTTATTCAGTGTGAGAAGCGTCCATAGCCACTGCTCTCCACTTGAGCAAGGCAAAGAGGTGTAACTCATTTGCTTGGGGAACGATGCTTTGACTTTACTAGTTGAGCACGACGTTCTTACTCGCGATGTTCGACGGACGCCGTGTGGTTGTACACAGGCGACGTCTTGCGGCGTTGCCAAATGCTTCACGTAGAAGCACGTGTCGCGGTAAGAGGGCACCGAAACGGCGTGGGTAGACCAACAATTTCCTTTTTCAGGCTCACATCCACATTGCCTGTCCGGCACTGGCGCCCCTCCCGTACTCGCGCGCCGCGTTGCGGTACATCTTGACCGTTCGAGACGGCGGAGGCTGCTCCGACATGACGCCCACGTTCAGCCCAAAACCCACACCTGGGCCAATCATCGCTCCCAGCGGCGTCTCTTTGCCGTCACCGGCGTAAGCAAGACCTGCCGCGGGCCGAACGCCTTCCCCGGATTCCGCACGTGAATCGTCGGCAGCGGTCGACGGCGGAGGCGAAAGGACGGTGGCGGAGCGTTGTTGTTTGCCGTTGGAGGAGGACGAAGGCGATCGGGTGAGTGATGAACTCTCTCCGCTGAGTGAGAGTGCTGCCGTTGAACTAGAGAGTCGCATCGTTGACGGCGTGGTGCGAGGACGGCGACGGTGGGGAGAAGGAACCGGTGCCACGGCGATCTGAAACGTCAGCGAGCAGGGTGTAGGGTGCGGAAAAGGGAACAAGCAGCAGGAGAGGGTAGCGTTAAGGAGACGGGGTTGATCGTTCTTCATTTGCTTGCAATGAAGGGTAGAGAGAGCCGTTTGCGATTGCGTTGCTGCAATGCGCTGGGCGATTCTATGCCCATCTTTTCCATCCGCTTTTCACTCGGAGAGAACGGCACTCTCTTCGCTAGCCCACACCTCGTACTTACTCTCGGCTTCCCAGAGATGTTGTCCGCACATTCGACATTTACTATGGTCTCCTATGCCCTGTGCATGCTTGTGGAAGCCACACACACCACACAAACACGGCACGGAATGGAGACATGTCGCAAAGAATCAAGTACCGTCTCGTAATTCCGCGTTCACCTCCGGGCTGTTCTCGCCGCCGTTGTTGCCCTGTTTTGCTTCGGTGACGCGGTTGTACACGGCGATCCTGCTGGGGTTCTTCGAGATTGCCGACAAGACGTTCAACTCTTCCCTCCCGTAGTATCCGAGAGTCGCTCCTGACCTCACCGATTGCGCACTGAACGCTCTCGTCATTGTTGTCCGAGACAGCTTCCCCTTCCGGTCCGCCGCACGCGCGGCCCCCAGGTGATCGCCGCTCGATACCGGACGGCCCGTCAACGTCGTTGCCACCGAGTTCGAATCACGGGCGAGGCGGACCCTCCCCTCTTGGTTCACTCCCGATGAGGGAACCGTGTCCGTTTGCGCGGCCGCAGGCGAGCACGCTGAGGCCGCGCGGTGGCAACTCCGGTGTTTCTCGATGGTCGCCAGAGCTACCTGCCGTCGCTCGGCTTCCGCCTGCCGCCTCGCCGCGGCAGCCGCCTCCGTCCGCCGTGGCGCCGTCACCGCGAGGGGGTTGGGTTCAGCTACGGCTTCACCAGCAGCGCCGCGCTCGCTCCGGCCCGCCGCAAGAGCGTCACGGTCGTTCTCCTGACAATCACCTGGGCGCGCGGGAGACGTGGCGGCAGCACCCGACGGGTGGGATCCCACTCCGACGGGCGCGCTCGCAGCCCGCCCGGCCACAAGAGGACCAGATGACGCCGTCCGTTCACCGAAGGTGACGGTTTGTGGGGTTGAGGTCGCGGAAGGAGAGGGCGGGGCAGCAGCGGGGGCGGCGGAGGTAGCGTCGAGCACGGTCTTGTAGAAGCTCGATCCTCCGCGGGACGACGTTGAGCGCCTCGAGGTCTTCTGGGCACGCCGTCTCTCCACCTCGTCCAGTAGTCCGGCTGTCATCTCCTCGTGGAGCGGCCGCACGCGGACGGTGTCCACCAGGAAGCTCCACCCTATGTCTTGGAAAAGCCTGGCACGAGGTCGCGTTTGTGGTTGGTGATGAGTTGAAGCAATAATGTGTGCAAGTTCAGCAGTGAGCAGGAAAGTAGGGGGGGGAGTGGATATACCATACTCTTTTTTTACAGTTCGTGGTTAGGAATACGCTCGGAATGGTGGTGACGTACCAGCCACGATCATGTGCAAAACTTGCCTGCGCTTGTGGTGGGTTTCTGAGGCGTTAGGGAGAGCAAATTGTCCTAGAACCTTGCCCTTGACCGACCATGTCCGCTGGTAGCCATCCTGTATTGTACCCAGCGGTCGATTGAATGAGTTGAGAAAAAGCCAGCTGAGTGAGGGTTTGCACGCAAGCAATGGCGATAACTTTCCTGTCCTTGTCATTGGCAACCAAGTTCGGGCCCCACCAGCGCTGCTGGGTGGTTCGACCACGTCTGGTGGAGCAGCACCGAAGAGTATCTCATGCTCGGACGAGGTACGAGAGACGAAGCATGCATCGAGAGGCAGAATCCTTCAGCCCGAGCCTCTAATGGCTGCACTGCCTATAATTGCTGCTTTCTTTAGAAAATATACATACATACACAGAAAGGCTACCCGGTCGAGATATAACCACAGTCGAAGGGGATCAATGTTTTGGAGGTATTTACAGTCAGTGCAAAAAGTAAACATTTATCAGCCCCTGGGCACCTCCGCGTACCTCTCCAAGAGTGAAAAAACACGGGGGTTGGCTGCACGAACCGATCCTAGAGACCGCGCCCGAGTGACCCTGCCACACGGCCTTCGGCGCTGACGCCTCCGGAACACGCCACGAGCAGTCCTCGTCGTCGTCCCCAAAGCAAGCTTCCCCGATGAGCCCGCTTGTACCCGTCGCCCCCGACTCGGCAACGCTGCCATCGCCCCGGCGATAGCTCTCGGCGACACCGCTTCCGCTTGCGTCAACACTGGCTGAAGCGCTTCCGATCGAGTGGCCGACGTTAACACCGGTGGCGGCCGCCGCGAAGACCGGCGGTGCTTGGGAGCTCTTTTTGGGCTGTACAGTGAAACAGGACAGAGGCAACAGGGGGCATACGAGAGCGTATTTGCCCGCGAAATGTGAACAATGATCTGCTGGCCCGTGATCCACAAGGAATCAGCCAAAGAGGGGCAGTACTCGGCGAACGTCGGCGCGAACGTGGGCTCCAAAAACCAACCGCGTTGACAGAAAAGGCTGGCGGTGGCAGCGATGTACGATGATCTGAAATAATCGTTGACAGGACGCATTCGGTTCTGAAAAGGAACTGTGCGTACTATGTATCTACACAGGTAGAAGGTCTGATTCGGACGCTGACCTCGACGTTAAGTGAGTAGGGGTTGAACGAAGATCGCAGGGCCGGACAGAGGGAGTCCGGCACGGGCCGCAGCTTCAGGCCGGGTATCAACGTGGCGTCAGACTCCAGTACATCCTCCAGCGCCCAGCACGCGAGTCTACCCCGCTCTGTCCCCAGAGCAATCCAAACCTTTTTGTGGGGTTAGGGCGTACGGCAAAGTCAGGAAACGGGAAGGGGCAAATGGGAAAACGAATAGGTTGACAGACGCGGATCCGACCCCAGGTACATGTTTTACGTCAAACGGATCACGATGGACTCGGGAGCTATTGGAGTGAACTAATTGTGGGGAAGCTGTATCTCAATCGCTGACATGCATGAAGCAAACGGCGAAAGTAAAGGCATTGCGTTTGGAACCATCGTGTGTGTGCGGTGCAAAGGTGCAACCACCCGTTGGAGAGCGCAATGCTTCGGCAGGACTCGTTAACCATAAGGCAAGGAGATTGATAGATACAACGTTCCCCGGTGGATTCGCACCTCGCCCTCGTCATACTCCTCCGTTATTTTTGCACCTCCACTCGACGCAGCACTGGTAGCACTTGAAACGGACGGCTTTTGTTCAGGGATCCGATCCTTCTTGGTGGCATCGCCACGTTTTTTGCCGGCTTGGTCAGTGTCTGCGGAGTCGCCCCGATCTCTGTCTCCACCCGTCTCGCCGACAACTAAGAAGACCGGGGTTAGCAACGACAACGTTTCTTTTGTTAGCGAGCTCCGATCTCCCAGCGAACCAACTCCTGCGGCGTTTAGATATACGCTGGCTCTGCCATCCTAAAAAACTTAGCGTAGTTCGTGTCCTTTAGTTGCGAAGGAGAAATGCGGTCTCCGCCAATGTTATCTCTGCCAGATGTGAAAACCGCATTCAGGAGCCTCACCACGACGAACTCAATTGGTTGGCCAATCGTACGAAGCCACGCGCACTCTCCTGAAGTGCTTTATCCACGGCACAAGGACGAACAAACGCCTGGTGGAAACTCTGCGCCATACCTTCTGCTTCCCGCGGGCCAGCACTCCCTCCATGTTGCTGTTGACTCTCTGCTGACCTAGAATCGTTGGCGGTGGACTTTTCCATTCGAAGCACTCCGATGGAATTCAAGACATCCAGCGAGAGCCCCAGGGTTTCCGCCGGCACGCTCAGCTTCGCGAAGCAGGTTAACTTGAACGTCTCCATGTCAAGATGCCAGAAGCACACCTGGGATATGGGTTTCCGTTCAGAGTTTGTTGGGGGTTGTCGCGACGTCGTCGTCGTCGTCGTCGTCGTCGTTGTTGTTGTTTCTTGGCGTCCATCCGTGATACACGGCAGCACTCAGTACGTTGTAGGCACTGCCATGATGAGCGCACTTGAGGCGCCCGTATGCGTATGCACGCTTATTGGTGCTGTAAGTTCGTTTCTTTGGAACACCTCTCTTCTCATCCTGAGGAAAGCTGAGCGAACTTGTCTTTGGCACCCACCTTGTTGGCGGTGAGCGAGGGTAAAGGGGCGGAGTTAAGTGTCTTGCTTCTGGTTCGACAACCTTCGTCATTTAAGGAAGGGTATCGGAGGACTGCCGACAATTTGGTGAAAACCGAGGGGACCACCAAAATATTTCGCGAGGGGGGGGGGGATAGGCCTCAGGAACTGTACTCTTGCTTGGGATATGAGTGAAGCTCACGGCTCTCTCTGTGCGTCTCTCTGTCCGTCGGCTTCGGTTTCGTCAATGTCTTCGCCCCCGTCACTGCCTTTGTCTGGTTGTTCGTATATTGACGTATCCACCTCTCGCTCTGTGGCGCTGACGCCGTCCGTGCTGTCTTTTTCTCTCTTCCTGCGTCTCTGCTTCCGTTTCCGCGTCGGCCGCTGCCCCTACTTCTCTCTGTGTCCTCTCATTATTTCGTCGTCTCTCTTACCCTTGTCAGGTCTCCCAGGGCGATGATAGAGTAGCCGTCGAGGAACGCCAGCCCCGTGGAAGGCTCCCCGACGCTCTGCACGGCTGCCGCCACATAGTCAAGATGTTGGAACCCGAGCACTTGTAGCTGGGCGGGTACAGATTGAGAGGGGTAAGACGTAGAGGGGGTGCCAACCACAAGTAGCGTCATAAGTTTTGAAGACATTGCACGGTGAAGGGTCCTCCCGACATGGAGACCCCAGCAACTTGTAAGTGTGTGCGGACATATGTGAGTGCGAAATAGAAGGCACTTTGGAACACGCTTCGAGCACACAGGGTTCGACGCTGTGACCTACTCGCACCTACACCGTATGCCCACCCTCGATTGGCGAAGGGTGAGCCCCAAGACTTCCCCCTCTTTTTTTACCTCGGCGCTGCTGGAGCAGGTGACAATTTTGCTGAGACGGTACGAGTATGCCATCCCTGTTATGGGAACCCCAGGCCCGTACACGCCCCTCAGCTTTCGTAGCTGTGTTGACGCGGCAGATCCGTGGCGTCAACGATATGGGTAAAGAAGGCGGGGAGTGAGTCGACCTCGTGCGGAACGGGTAAATTGTAGCATCAATGTCGGGTACGTTTGTAGGCACGTGTAAAATATCCCGGTATTCTCTCCAGCACTTTCAGGAATTCCCGGCCGGGAGTTGTTGACTAGACGGTAGTTGGGAATCGTTTTCTTCAACCTAGCGGCAAAGTCAGTTTTCCCCTAAATGTTCCATCAGTTTTGTGCTATTGGGACAGATGAGGAGAATCCGGCAGAGTTGGCTACCCCCTCGCGCAGGCGAGAGAGAGAGAGACCGACTGGCCATCGTCTTTCGATGACCGTCGACGATCACGGTAGGATTCAAACGTTTGTGGACCTACAACATCTCCGGCTAACCGTTACCTCCTTAAGCTTGCACTGTATCTCGCTTGTGATGACGACGCCCCCGTGGTAGTCGGCGGAGATGATCATTTTCGTCGCCTTGCAGTACGCCATTTGCGTCACCTGCGCAAGACAGAACAAACACGAAAAACGGCAGGACGCAGGACACCGCCCGACAAGCACGTGAACAATCCAATGCGATGACGCCTGAGTTCCGGAGATTGACCAGTTCAGACCCAACGCACGTTTTCGTCACAAGAACCGCTGTGATTGCCAGGACACGCTATGCGTAAAGGTTGTAGGGATCACACGCGGTCATGTTCGGAAACACACGTTTCCTGCCGTAGTTATTCGGTCTTCGATGATTGGCCGAATGCGTTCGGTGCTTTTGGCAACAAGAGGATACTGCAAGCGGCACGACTGTTGAATATATTGAGAAGTCATTGCAAATATAATTGCCCCTCAATCAAGCCGCCAACGATTATGTTTGGCCAATATATGCCGCCGTGGTGCTTACCGAAAAGCACCGACATACGGACCGAATCGCCGTCGTCACCGCTAAATTCCCACAGGCTACACCATCGATAAGGTAGTGGTAGATTTCCTAGCAAGCAGACCACACAGATCACGTCAGGCTACGCGAAAATGCACGCCATACAAGAACGAACATGGCAAACCCGGACAAGGACAAACCTCGGCACTGTGTGGTTGCGTCTCATCAAGAATAGCCCCCGTGACGTAGTTAACCAGCAGCAGCTTCCCGTCCTCCGTTCCGAGGATCAGCCGGCGCTCGAACGGGAGAGCGAAGCACGCGCTGACAATGTCCGCGCTAGGGTGTGGCCCGATGACGAGTGAGGGCCGGGAAGCACAATGTAGGCAAGGGGAGGTAGTGACACGTCATCATGATGGCGACATCCTTCACCCCGACCATACTCCCTGGATTCAAACTACGAAAGCCGGGAAGGGGCGCGTCGAACCCTTTTCCGACGTAGCAGGCGCCATAATCAAGCGTGCGAGTTTCCGTGTGGTGTATTCAGGGAAGTGCGATGCACTCAGGAAATCAGACGATGGGTTTTGCGGAGAACGGCAGCTATGGCCGTCCTTGCGCGGGTATGAAATTTCGATAGGCTTGGATGTTTGTCGGTGTGAGCACTTCTAGGGGGCATCATGAACGGCTTGTCCTTCTACGTTTGGCATAATACAGGTCACGGAGGGGTCATTTGAAGTGGCGTGTGGAGTCTACGCGCCTTTTTTTCCTAGCCCCCCGGAAGTCACCACGTACTTGAGTTATCCTCATGATCCTTTCACTGCATCCCACCACCGACCACCCACCACTCTCTTGTGAACGAAGCACGTAAATTGTAGTGTTTAGAGAGAAAACAGCGACCACTGTTTTGTTTGGTTTTTTCATGTAACCCTGCCTGTAAATCGTGTCCCACAATGTCTACTTGCCCTATGCTCACTCTTCCCGTTCTTTCTGCAGGACTCCAAATCGGGGTCAGTCAGAACAAACATGAACGCCCTTTTTGAAAACACACAACCACAGAGAGACTACCCGTTGAGAATGCCTTGGCGTGAAACACGACGCGTATCTCGCAGTCCGTTCCTTCAAGTGCACCCATGAGCAAGCGCTTCCAACATGCACCAACTGAGTCAACGCGACACCTCGTTGGATCCAACTCTCCAACTCACCGCAAGGAAGCTTCGAAGCTACCAGCTTGGCCACCAAGGCAACGACTATGCAATTTGTGTGTGTGATGTGTGAAAAACCCGCACTCAGATCTACGTGAGTAGAGGTACCTCGGGCTGACGTCAATGAGCTTCCGAACATACTCCCCGGACGTGGCGTCCCAGATGTGAACGTTGCGCCTCAAGGCACTCAGGAAGTGGGCGGAGCTCGCGTTGTACTCGGCGGCCGGAGGAACGAAGAATTCCTGGAGTTGAACGTTCCACGGCACCCAGCGTTGCGCATTCAGTGTCGTTCGTTGGCGGTTTGCTAGGGAGGTATGTGCTACCGTGTTTGCCGACCCGATGATTTTGTCTGCGTGTTGGTTTGGTTGGGATGGTGAAATGTTTCTACCGGCATTGTCGAGCGGTGCTACTGGTATGGTCAGGTGTTCTTTTTTAGAGTCCTTTCTGACCAGGTTATTTTTGGGGGTGCCTGGGTTGGTGTTCGAGGCATCGGCCCGGCCCGGCCAGGTCGAGGCGGCCGAATTCATGCGATCGTGGAGCTCTCTCGGTTTGAAAGTATCACGAGTTCGCCCTTGGCTGAGACCGGAATTACTTCCCGCGTGCCGAAACTACATGTGGGGCTTCTCTCTGGATTCGAAGGTCGTTCGACATGCGCAAATTTTGCTGACCATATGTGGTGAGTTCGACTGCCCGAAGGCAGGATACATGGAACGGGAGGAGCCTGACCTGTCCTATGGGAATGCACAATGAAAGCGTCATGGCCCTCTCACCTTCTTGATCTTTCGTGCGGCGTAGCTTATGACGTTGTGGGTGGCGACGAGCATGTTGGAGTACCTTCGGGGGCCGAAACCAAGAGCAACGATGGGCGAGTGGAGTGTGGACATCTCGAAGCGCGCGCACAATGTGCAAATTATTCTTTTTTCCAAACGGAGGGGGCCCCAAAAGCCTTGGTTGTATATCTCGCAGACGGGATGTAATCAACACCGGCCATACCAACCTCGCTTTCTTTGAGAGGGCAGGTCGTGTACACGAAACCGTCAGAAGGTTCACGTTGGCTTGGGGGGGTGGGTGTGTTCAAGAAGATCAGCCGGCTAGGGTGCACGGCAAGTAAGTGGCCGAACAGCACTTATGCGGGCGTTTTTATGTCAGCACGAAGCTGTGAGATCCATTGACAGATCGACTAGCACGCGCACGCCGCTAAGTCTCTTTACGAACCCCCATCGCCCCCCTCCTACCACCAACGTCGACAACTCACCCCTTTACCGACAGCTCTTGGTCGAATGGGAGGAATATTTGCTTTGGCCCTTGCATGGTACCCGGGGAATGAGGCAGACGGAAAACCATGAGGCATGGGATCGTGTTGCCTCCTGCGATGCAACCACTCAGGTCCCACACCCTGTAGCGTGACATCATTGAAACGTGTGGAGTCCGACAGTTGATGTTGCGTCTGCAGCAGGTTTGGTGCTTGTGAGTGGTGGGCTAGTAGGGAAGGATATACGGTGTGCGTCATCCCGTCTATCCTGAACGCCAGCCTTCGCGCTTGTCGGTAAAGTGGGGCTCACGACTATAGCAAGAGGAATGCGACACAGATGTTTTTGCTTGTTCTACTTTGATTCTGCGGTGTTAGCCAAGGTTTGTATCGTAAGAAGGGTTCATTTCCCAGTCCCTTTTCGTCGCCGACCGGGAAGGTAACTTTCTTTCCCACGGAAAGGCGATTCTCCGCTTGTTGGGTACATGTTGAGAGAAACAAGACACGGATTTTGCAGAGATTCTATCGCAGGCCCCAACGTCGGAAGGCGTTTAACTCCCCACAATAGCCAGCGCGAGGAATAGCCATAAAACCAACCTACCCACATGGTATCTGTCGCAGTGTTTCAGACTAGCAAAAATCGACTCGAATGTTCCACACGTTTCCTCTACGGCGCAAGTCCCAGGCCGTCATATCTTCGCCCTATCCGACACGCAAGCAGCTCGACCGTTTCGCCACACCTGATTTCGTGGTTGCAATCAGCGGAGACAGCCTTCATGTCCTCGTAGTTCGTCGGGCAGACCATCTTGAGGAGTCGTGATCCATCCGGAACATGGGGTGGAGGAAACGACAAGAACACATGAATGGCGAACCGCACGAAAGCGCTTGTGGGAATCCGCGAAGGTGCTGAACGCACATTCATTCCTGCATGCCTACGAATCACCTGCCAAACACGGAGAGAAGAGGGCATCGTTCTACGTAGGACATCGTTGCCACCCGCACGAACACGATGACGAAATGCTTTGGAGAAAATAAGGGGGGTACCGCCTTCTCCCTTTGGCATTCCTTCGCTCCGTGCTTTCTTGTTTTCCCTATCTCTCTGCCTCTCTGTCTGTGTAACATTAGCTGTCGCGATCTCGATCTCCGTATCTGCTCTGTCTTTCTCTTTGCCTCGTGTGTCTATCTATCTGTCTCGTCTGTCGTTGTCGTTCTCCCTCTCCCCTGTACCTGTGCGACTGCCGTGACGGGGGCCTTGTGCCCGTTCATGGTTCCTATCTTTTCCAGCCGATCCGCGTCCCAGGCGATTATCTCCCAGTCGAAACCAGCGGAGAGGAGAGTGCCGCGGAGGTACGAAAGCGCCTGCACGCCGAGCGTGTGGTCGCGGAACATTGCGCGGAGCTTCCAGGTCGGCATCTGGTTGAAAAAGGGAGGGGGGGAAGAAAAGAGGGGGGAGCGGGAGAGGGGTGTAGGTTCTGCCCTTAAGGTCATCCTTGTGGTTTGGGTCGTTGCTGAGGACTGATTTCTCTTCCGGAACGTCTTCGGACGAAGAATGTTGACCGTTGGTGCAAGCAGAGAGCCGGGCCCTGCTTGTTCCGAAAGGTTGCTCAAGTCTTGCTACAAGATGCAGGTGGCAGATATCATGAGATGCTAAAACAGGTCTTTGGGTCGGGAAAGGGGGCCCGGGAGGGAAGTGTTACATGTAGATTTATCCTCCTACTATCCTGTTTCTCGTGCTCGCAGTCCGCAACCCACATTCTTCCTTGCCTTGCCGCGCGCGGGGCGCAATAGGGGGGGCACCATAAATGGGTTTTATTAATGACAATCTCGGGCCGTCGATGACCAAACGCTGGCAGAACAGACAAACATGTTGACATTCAACCTTGACAGCACCCTCGAATGAATTGATCTCTGATTGGCCAAGGGGTGCAGATGCCTAATGTTGGAGAGCCATCTTCACCTGCCACACGCAAACACGCCTGTCCAAGGAGCTAGTGACGACGAGCTCCTTCTCCGCGATACAGACGATGTCCGTGATGGTGTTGCAGTGCTCGGGGTGAAGATGAATGCGCTTGGCACCCACGGCAATTTCGTCGACCTGAGCCAGATTTACCGACAGCGAGAATACGCGATGCGTACACAACATGCCCGGATAGAGCGAAAGAGAGAAGGACACACAAAGAGAGAGGTAGAGAGAGATAGCTATGAGAGACAGAGAGAGACGGACAGATACACGATATCGAGAGAGAGAGAGAGAGAGAGAGAGAGAGAGAGAGAGAGAGAGAGAGAGAGAGAGAGAGAGACAGAGAGACGCAGAGAGACAGAGCAGAGACAAGACTGGGGTAAAAGAGTGAGTGAGGGTATTGTGGCAAGCACAATATACCTGATGGGAAGATACTGACGAACGATGGAGACGTGAAGCTCCGAGCAGCTTTTGGGCGCCGTACTGTACTCCCCGGCGACATAATCCGTCCATGAGGATCTATTGTTGACGCATGCATTTCTAAACGTACGTCCCTCGGATTCCCACTATTCCAAACGTCTTATGGTGGGGGAATTGCCTGAGAAACTTCTACCCGGCCATGTTACCATACTGCACAATCCATATCACGAAGAACGCCGGTGTGCTTGCCTCCCACTCGTAGAGATAGTTGTCGGAGCCGACCGAGATAAGTTTCTGGAAGCACGGTTCCCACATGAGCTTGCGGTGCATCAGCTGGTGCATCACTTTCGCCTGTGTCACAGTGAAGAGAGTTGATACTGTAGAAAGGAGGGAGAACAGGATCACGCCATATGCTATGCCGAACGGAAATATCAGAGATTGACAGCATCGAAGAGAGCTGGACAATGCGTTGAATTCAAGCCGATTTCAAGGCCCACGGATGAGAGATGATTTCTGCCCACCCCACACTAGAAGTCATGCAGCGCAATACTCGAACTCTAGCTAGTTTTATCCCAGTACATGAATATGAAGTTTCTGGGATGCCTACTCGTACGCGTACGACCTCGCTTTTTCGAACGGCAACCACGAAACGCACATGTTGCATGCCATGGAAGAGATAGGGCAGGCGTACGCCCCCTTTTCCAGGCCCCTATTTAGCAGATCGTGCCGCAACCCGTCTACGAGGGTTGGTATTCTCTGCAATTCTGGGGTGGACCTGCCCGCTGGAAGATGTTCCACGGCATGGTCTACACCATCGGTACGACTAGTGATGTGGTTTCAGAGTGACATCGCGAGAACATACCTCAATCACTGACATGGGGCCGATTGCAATTACTCCTCGAAAGAAGTGGACTCAGTTTCGTGTTCAATGATCGGTGTTCTGCCCTACTGTTTCAGCCGATTCTTACGCGCTTGGAGGAGACCGTAGATACCCGCGAATGAATCTGTCTCATTCTAAGAATACCTATGCCAACACAACGCACAGGATGCTCGACGGTTCGCCCTGGTCCTAACATTCTCTGTAGACACCCGAATGAATGTGCGCACCCACACGCGTCGCCTGCCCTCACACAATGTTTAGTTCACACCTCGCTGTGGTAGCCGTGTGTGCACCCCCTCCGGTTCTTGACTTCCTTCATGAGATTCACGCTGTGGTCGCTGCAGAACTTATCACGAGATCCGTTTGTCGGGAATCCACAATCATGCAGAGAGAAAGCGGGCGAGGCGGGCACGACCATAGCACAAGGGAAATGAGTATCGCCGCGGGTTATGTGTGTCTACATGAAGGGGTTGCCCGGAAGGCACACAAACACAAGCCTCACATCCTCGTAGTCTTCCGGGGGGTTCATTCAAATAGTCTTTCTGTGAGGCCGATCGATTAAAAGTAGCTGTACAGCCCCCGGTAGAGTGTCCCCGAGACAATGCTGACATCGTACCGTGCTCTCATCCAACTCCTTAGTTGGCTTCTGTTTCTTTTTCATATCACAATGATCCCGTCAACAACACCGGGATGGTCCCCCCGAAGCGCCCCGGACGGCGGGGGAAGGGAGGGTGCGAGGAGGCAGCAATGGGGCTGTGTAGCTTGTTACAAGGAACCCAGTTCTTTCGGGAACAACCTCGGCGCAAAATGGTTAATTAGCCCAGTGTCATGCTGCCGCCTTATGTAGAAGTCGAAGCGCTAACAGAATCACCAATGATTCGTGCTCCAGCCGGTGTCTACATCATGCGGTGGCAATCACTCTGAAACCGGGACTCGCTTGCCTCACCAGAGCCAACCCCAAAGAGAACAACTGAGCCAAGCGAGGCCCCCTCTAACCCACGAACGTCATGGGCGGAAGGGGGTTGATGGACTCACCACGACTAGGTAACGGCCGGGAATGTAGGCGACCGTGTGCACTGCCACGTGCTGGCCTTCAACGAAGTACGGGTCCAGAAACTCATGCTGATGGTTGGGCTTTCCGATAGAGTCCAACGCCTTCGTGAGGCCAAGGGGGGCGATGACGCACGCCACGGAGAAAAGTCAAAGAGCGAAAATTCATATCTCAATCTTCAGCCGAAAGGTTGAGTCAACATGTGACCAGGGAAATTGGGCAGGCCTTGGGCGTAGGTGAAACACAATTCAAATTGGTGACGAAAACACAGCATCATTACCAACAACCACATCAGATCAACGTTATCAACAACAAGAACAACACTATGCTACAACCACGGGTATTTTGCTAGCCCTATCTGCTAGGGGGGCTGACATGGGCCACGAGTGTACCATACAGCAAGCACCTTCAGGATATTGGAGCCCTTTTCGGCGTAGTATGCCTGCTTCAGCTCAGGAACGTACGTCATGAAGGCAACGCCTGGGCCATGCCCGGACCTGGGAATACGGCAACGGACGTAGATGACCGCGACAACAACAATTACTGCAACAATAGTTTCGTGGCGCGGGCAAGGGCACAAAGTAGGAGGAACTGGTGGATGGAGGAATGTGCGCGGGAACATTTTTTCGAAACACCCACGCGGCGCAGGGGTAACGGACATGTATACCGACGCCTAAATTTGTCTCCCAGGCGTTCGCTATGCTAGGTTGGCAAGACTCGGTAGGACGGCAAGATTGGACGCGGAAGGAAGCTTGACCTTCAGAATCAATTTTAGGCAAATGTTGCCGTCGTGGGGTTTGGTGTGGTACGTGTCACTCTTAGTGTCGTTGCGGCCATGGCGGTGTTGGTGGTGTTGGTGGTGTGGTAGTGCTGGTGGGGCCGAAATCATTTTAGTGTTGGCTTTTATCCTACTACTGATACCACCCCGGTTGCTGCTATGCTGCTGCTGCTGCGGCCTTCTTTTCCACATACATTCCGTTCCCTATGTACCTGGTGTGAACAACCTTTAGCGTTCATCGCCCAAAACTTCGTTGAGCAGCTAGAACAGCGACGGACGCGGTGAAGAACGGGGGCCGTAACCAAAGACTCAGATGACTATGTTTCGTTCGGTGTTTTGGGCCTCTCACTCTGCGGATCGGATCATGCTACCGCTACGAAGAGTCGCCTCGTCCTCGCCCCCGTCGCTCCCACCGCCAACACAACCAGAACCGCCCCCAGAACCGCCCGCTCCCGGCAGAGACACGGGCTGGTACTCGATGATGAAGTCGTCCGGCTGGAAAGCAGCATTGTTGGTTCCCTGCTCATGTCAAAAGTATTTGCGACTCAGCGAAACGGGGATCGCCGGGAAATGCGCTCGAACATGCTGATCAAAGTGTGGAACATGTGCTGGCTTTCCACTCAATATTTGTACTGGTCATGTCGCCCATCCTCTTTTGGACGGACAGGCAGGCACACAGACGGACAGGTACACAGACGGACAGAGCTACCGCCGACAGACAGATAGATATTAGGCAGGTATGACAGACCACGCAACCGTCCGACAATCAGTGAACGAACGGACGAACCTTCCCACTGATGACCCCGAGCTCGATGCAGAACGACGTGAACTCTTCCCAATCCACGTAGTCGTTGCCGTTAATATCTGACGATGTTATTCAGACGCGGCCTTGATGAGTTTCCCCTGCATGTATCTCACAGAATCTTATTCCCAACGACGGACAGATTCATGACTCGAGAACGAGCTTAGCATTGAATGTGAGTGTCAGCCCCTCAGGCCGAGCTTCAACTCTCGGCTGCTTCCACAGGAATGCATGGCCCTGTGCCGAAAAGCGAAACGTCGGTCTCATCGACAGCTTTCCGAATACATGTCGCTCGAAATCGGCATCCTATTGGCTTGGACCAACCAAGCGTTGTAAATGACCGAGAGGGAGGGTTCGATGTTCACCACACGGTCAGTAGCCGGACATGAAACCGAGGGATCGCATGCGTAAACTACCTATCTGATCGAATAGCTCGTCCAACATCGCCACCACCCTCGCCGCGTCGGCCTTGACGTGAAGCCCTTTGGTGGTCTGGTACAGGTGCATGAACACCGCGTGGACGAAGGGGTGCCGTCTGAGGCCCCGGCTGTGCCCCTCGGCAAAAAACTTGTTCTTCATTTGCGGGAGAGCCTGCCGGTAACAACGTCTTTGCCGGGTCACCGAAAACACTCCATGGTTCCTACAAGGGAGAATATGCTGTGATGGCAGCCTGTTCAAGTTACCTTCGAAAGAGGCACGGCGGGTCGGTGGGTTTGATGGGCACGTGGCAAGGTTGCTCATCCCCCCCTCCACGATATCTCTTTGTTTGCATCCGAGCCATGTCTACTATACTCCTCCCCCCCACCCCGGGTCAAATGAAATTCTTCTACATGATAGTGTGGCTACATAACCCACACACACGGTTGTTAAATGAGACAGAGAACGCCATCTTAGGAGCGAATGTGGTATGTGGTGGATGGATGGAATAGAAGTTTGCCTGGGCAAGGCGAAGAACGGATGATTCCGCCCCGCCATCACTCGGACATAGATCGCACGATCTCCATGACTGTACCTTCGACGTGAGCGCCGCACATAAGGCCGGGATGCTGGGAAGTTTCATCGCTACTGCTGAGATGGCGGGGCTCGCCACGTAGCCCGACATAAGGTGCTTTAGAGCGGTGGTATCGTGACACCGTAGCTCGTCGTAGATGGAGGTAACGATCCAAGGGCTAGAGGCGTTCAGCCTCGAAAGCATGAACAGCACCACGACGTTGTTCTGAAAAGGACGATGAACAATTATGTAGCGAACATCCTGCAAAGTTAGGTCGAGCCCTAACGGTTTCTTGGGAGAGGGGAATGGAAAACAGCTTGGAGGTGCAACCCTACCATATTGGCGCGGGTAGAGAAACAAGCCAGCTCGTTGGCAGTTCAGTGGTACGACTCGGGCGACGTCAGATGTCTCTGAACGAAACACACGCAGCCAGCGTTCATATCAAACAGAGCGCGTTCCCTGACGTGGTTCTCGATGGCGGTTGTTCAGCCTGAAAATGCGCATGTACTAATACACGGGCGAGGAAGAAGCAGACCGACGAACCGTTTCGAAATGAAGTAGTTGCCACGTGCATGGTGAAAACGTGTTCTGGCGAGGCCAATGAAGGACGGGTAATATTCCGTCATCCGCGTTCGCCTGATCCCTTGTACAAGACCCTGCACCCACGAATAGCCTCGTGGACACCTCTATGTTCCCCCCAAACGTCAGTTGAGCCGTTGCATGGCCTGCTCATTCACACCTACCTGCTGGTCGTGGTGCGTGTCGTGCTGCACTCCGAAGATTCTGGTGGATGACACCACGCGTTGGTGCCAAGCCGGCGTGAGGTCGACCGCCCCGCCCTCGTTGCTGAACCTCCGGAAGCGGAGGCTGGCGCATACGCATTTTATGCTGGATACCGCATGAGCCTATCGTGTTCGAACAAAATAGTGCTTGCGAATGACAAGATTTTCAAATAAATATGTGCTTCTAGGTTTTCGTCATATGAAGTATGTACATATGTACTATGTGATGAAAACCCGTGTCAAGGGATAGGGCCCCAGGATTCAATGCGTGCACGATTCCGGGAAGTCCAGGGAAATAATTGTCTCCCTGATGATGTTGCCTTCATCGTCATCGATGCAATAGTAGGCCATGGCAACGACGGGCATGGAACTCGGACCTACCAATGCCACCAGAGCAAATCCGCCTTGTTTTTCCATTCCAGTGAACTGCGACCGAAACTCTACAGAGATATGAGCCAAACAGAAAAGAGGATGCGGCACCGAAGGACGTACAGCAAGGGAAACCCTGCACTGATCTTCACGATGACGTCGTCGAGTACAACATAAATATGCGACAACGGTAACGACAGCGACGACGACGACGACGACGACGACACGCCAACAACAACAACAACAGCAACAACAACAACAACAACAACAACAACAACAACAACAACAACAACAACAACAACAACAACAACAACAACAACAACAACAACAACAACAACAACAACAACAACAACAACAACAACAACAACAACAACAACAACAACAACAACAACAACAACAACAACAACAACAACAACAACAGCAACAACAACAGCAACAACAGCAACAACAACAACCACCACCACCACCACAACAACAACAACAATAACCACCACCACCACAACAACAACAATAACAACAACAGGTCAGGCTGTACATTTGTCATGAAAATACCAGAACTTTACCTGAAAGGTCATCGACAAAGATCGGACTCCGGCCACGATGGTGGACACTCTCGGGTCCACCCTGGTAAGGTCCAGCATCATCTTCTCCAGGTCTTCCTCCAGCCCGCCCTCCATGTTGTACACCGAGTCGTCGATGAGAGCGGCTACGTTGCTGTACGTATCCTGGACGCAGTCCACTAGCGCCAGCGACTTTGCCTTGATATGGCCCGAGCATTTCGCGGTCCCACACATCAAACGTCCAGGCAACGTGTCAACAGACTACTTCCAATTCAAGGTGATTTCTCAGGGGAAACTTTTGGAGCCTCAGGCTGAACACGGTCAAGTTTGCGTTTCGTGCCCCTGACGCACAGCCAGGCACAAACCAAACATCCCCGGGAATGTACGCCAAGCCAGAGGTGCTCTTCAGCGCTCGACCCATTTTGGGCTGTGCCGACACATTGCGGGAGATGCTTTGTGGGATGAGTTTTCGCACGCCCTCCTGTGCTGTTGAAAGGCCTTCGCGTTTGAGCGATTTCACGTTATGAGTTGGTGAAACAGAATATCATATGTCCATTTAGGTTGTTTGTTTTGGAGCGAGTAGCCGGTGCCACGTGTCAAAGCTACATAGTTTTCGTTGCCTGCGTATGATTCCACACGTTCGCGCGCACGTGCACAAACACTACGGTGGCAGTAGCACGATACTAGAAAAAAATGGACAACGTACTCAAAGAAAAACCGAAACCTCATGCGCTCGTTACTTCTCGCCTCACATCATCGTCAAAGAAGACCATCACCGCGTCAAGATCGCACACAGCATTCGTGGTGGCTGTATCCCATCGAAAACCCTGTGTAACAGGCCATACATGCATTCGGTACACAGAGACAGAGAGGGCATTAGGGAGGTAACAGAATGGGGCTGAGAAGGCGCCACTTAAGGTGACGATTATGTTCTGTGGTGGTTCTTCCGTTCGACTTCAAGATCACACGTTTTGCTTGCCTAATACCTTGTGCTTATCACCTACCATGTAACATCCCTCCGTGATAGCACCCAATTTCCATCCCTTCTACGGTCAATCTCCTGCCGACCGTAACCTTGTGTCGGGAACGGCCACACACGACCCGTCACCATGCTGAAGCCCCCGTCAGAAAAATACGTCAAAATGAAGTCTCATCCGTTTCAACGCCCAGAGCAGCTCTTTGCGTCGAAGGTTCCATGTAGGTCTGTCCCCCAGATGATGGGCACGATTGCCAAGAGGCTTCGAGAATAGGTTCACTTACCACAAGCAAGCAGGGTGCATTCGCCAGCGGATAGGTGTCTTGCGCTGCCCCTAGCTCTCGGAAAGGATCCTGCAGCGAACATTTCGGTGACGTTGGGGGTAAAGTGTGCTGTAATACCCTTAAGGCTCACTGCACTTGCTGATCCCGCGAGTGAAACGGATCGGTGTGCCTTCGGTCAACAAAGAATACTCGTTCCATGCAACAGATGCCGATCGACGTATGTAGTCTATACCGATGCTTTTAATCTGGGTCTAATAGATGAGCACGCGGACCAAGAACGTCACATCGTCAGCGAGTGGACGCTATCGGGGGGTTGAGTAGTGACTCCAGGAAGATATCGGGTGAGGCAGCGTCACCTCGAGTTCCATGTCGTCTTCAAAAGCCAAGAAAACAAGTCATTTCATGTAGTCTACACCAAACACCAGAAACCACTTGACAAATGACACACATCAAGCAGTAGTTTTCCACCGGGCCAGTCGCCGGCGAATACCGTTAGCGCCCGCGCTTAAGATTGGCATTTAAGAACACAATTCTCAACAGAGTATAAAAAAAAACAAAGTTGAGCACCACTTGTGAACCCGTATAGGTAAGAACCCTTACCCTGAAACCTAGCGGGCATTCATTCGTAACCTAACCCGAGGAACTAAGAAGACCCCAGCCTCAGCCAGAAGTAGAGAGATTAAGTTGTAAACAAACAAACAAACAGTGTCTACCAATTACACAAGGATATGGACAGACATCTCAACATACGGTCCTTTGAGGGTGAAGGTGGCATGAACTGTCGCTTAGCAGCAGCCGATACAGACAAGTGGAAAGGAGAAGCATCATAATTGGTCTTGAGCCACACGATTAATTGCGGATGGCCTGTGATGTCACGGGGTCTACACTACAAATTCGCAGGGCACTTATCAATCCCGGCTTATCAAGAGAGACAAATCAGTGGTATCCTCTACGATGCCTCGGGATGCTTTCCATCTCTCTGTGTGTGTGGTACAAAAGTGCGCACAAGGACATGGTTCAGTTGTGCGCTTTAGTTTTACGTCTTGTACAATCGCGTCTTGGCTGCCTGGGCTGCAGGCGTTGCACGTATCATCTACACTATTCACCGTCATCCCTATTACTTCGTATTTCATTAGCGTCGCCCTTGGGTATCTTCGCTTGTCTTTTGCAGAATGGTTGGGCTGAAGGCTGAAATGTTTCTTATAATCTTCTACACCTCTTGGCTAGCAGACGGAACCTGCTTGCTACTTGACAGAAGATCTCGGTCAGTTTTGTGCCCGAACGCGCTGTGGTCCCCCCTACTCTGTCTGCCCATCACAGCTCTGCTCTCGACACTCACTCCTAGATGGTAACAATGTTTTGATACCATGGATACTAGAAGTAGTCAACAACGCACCGAGATACATAATTCATGTCTACAGTAGTTACTACATGTATTGCAGTGTCTTCTCCCAAACGCCATCTACGACGGCCCTACTATAGTCTAGACTAGTCTAGTCGCAGAGATTGCCCTTCCTACCTGTAGTCTACAATGTCAGCCTCTGTCCGTACGCTGCCTTATCTCGCAGCGCGCAATACAATTTCATGGATGTACGTGCATGTTCTCAATCATGGCTGGAAAACCACTACATAGTCTAACCAAATAGCGCAGGATGAACGCTGCATGGCAACGCATATATTCATGTATGCGCTGCACGTCTCTGGTGTCAACTCTTAGTCAAACGACTCGAAGCGAGACTGTCATTACATCGGTGCCATCGCAGAAGCGGTACGCACCGACCATCAATTCCATGGTTCAAAACCAGCAACTAACTTCTAAACTTCTCAACGGTAACCACGCCGCGTGTGCTACATACCACGCACACGCACATTGCCGCATCGCATTACCTTCTCGTCGAGGTCTTCATCTGAGACCTCGTCTCTCTCAGTTGTCTCCAATGGGGCCATTGTCTTTGCCCCGCTCTCTCCAGGCCCGGGTCACACAACTCTCTGCGCATGTATCCGCTGGGGTGCCGTACACACCTCAACGGTGCTGTTTCCGGCAAAAAAAGGACGCAAGACACGCAAACATGTCGTACTCTACATTAATCATGCGTTCGAGTCGTTAAGAATGATGCCGCATGTCGCGTGCCGCCTGTCGATGTTGCGTTTCACCTGAACCGGCATGGATCCCAGCGCGTATTCGGCAGACCACCACTCTCCTGCTCCGCAACTGCGCAACTGCATGGCTACAAGGTTACCCAGCACGCGCACACACACGGTTCCTAAACGAACTAGAGTACAAGGTAATAGCCTTGGTAGACGCGTCCAGTTTTCTTCTGTTGCTGCTGTTTCTGTCTTTGATCCGAAGGATGGTTTATCCTCCCCATGCTGCCCCCTCACGGGGTCCCAGTTCATCGCAGATAGAAGTGTTTAGTGTTTTCAACCGCACTAAGACTGACGTCTTTTCATTGGTCAGCCGGTTAGCGCGGTCGATGCTAATAATAAGCACACACACGGTTGTGGTAATGGTGCCCTCTCGAGGTGTTTCCTACGTAGTCCCATCCATGGCGTGCTACACAGATGCGTGTGACGATGAATGGACGCTTGTTGGTTTACTATGTAATCATGTACGCATGTACTACATCCCGCATCCGACACAAGATAACACCCCCCTGTGATACCATTTTGGGCAATTCGGATTTTTTTGTTACCGAGGGTGTTGTTCTGTGGAGGTGTCTTCGGTGGCCCTACCAGTTGATCCGAGTTCTTTGCCATGATTTGGGCTCATGTTGCTGTCGTCGTCTTCGCATGAAAACCCGTTCCGGCCACAGCCCACAGTTGACTCCCGGTGCAACTATCATACTTGTCAACCAACTTGAACTAACCGTGACAAATCAATATTTACACCGTTATATTAGTTTCGAAGAGAAGGATCAATACCCCAGAAAGCCAGAACAAACGCGACAAAAGGAGCACAAAAATCGAAGGTGCCAGCCTGGCAACAGAGCTGCAAATATTAATATTTTGCATGTCCAAGGGAATTTGGTATTGCTGGAACAGATCTCGATTCGATGGGCCACACAACGAACATAGGTCAAACGCCTGCCAACTGACGAGCAATGCTCGCTGTTTCCTCGCAGGGGAGGAGGGGAGGCATCAACAAAAGCCGATTGGCATTATTTTCAGACGAACCAAGAAATTATACTACTGTGAGTACGAAAGACGAACCTCGAAAGGATTGAACCATGACAGCTACACATTTATAGCAACGAAGGAGGCTCGAAAGGATTGAACCAGAACCACACACTATAAGAAAGCAGGAGACTCGACAGGACTGATGCACAACGACAAATTATAGAAGATGACTCGAAAGGATTGGACCACCAAAACTACACAATATCGCGAAGAAGGAGACTCGAAAGGATTGAACCACAACTACGTAACTACAAATTATAGAAGGAGATTCGAAAGGATTAACCTTACCTACACATTATAGAAAGGAGACTCGACCGGACTCAACCACAACTATCAATTAGAATAGGGGACCCGCAAGGATGGACCGCCAACTTTTCTCCCTTTCCACAATATATATCTCCACAACAATAGCTACATAGGCTCCAACCTCGGTCCTCCGTGCCAACCAACAACACGCACGCCCACGACTTGCAACATGCCACGACGAAGATGCTGATTGTGTGTGTCCTCTGTTTCTTGATAATGTACAATTCATCCATCCCACAACGCGCCTTGACGTCTTTTCCGACCTACCTGCCAGACTTGCTCTTCACTCTCCAAAACCCCCCAAGGCTCTACAACAACAACAACAACAAGGTCCCTTCGGCACAGGCCGAATGAAAAATGCTCCAAAACGGGGCCAAACAATAACGAAGCACTGAAAAAACAGCCAGAGAGAAGCCGGTAAAACACCCACAAAACAGCACACCCGGTCTACATGACCCCTACCTATCAGACTGGAAAACGGTTATTTATCGGAAAAACACACGGCAAAAAAAAAAGAAAAACTGCGTGGGACAGGGACATCTCTCGCACAAGAAAATAGAAATCATCACCTCAGACTCGGCGAAGTCAATAGCTGACAACGGAGCACCACACTCACGTGTATCACTCTACTTACATACGCATAGCAACCGAAACAGTGCAGTTTTCACGACTTGTCGCGGAAACAAGTTCACAACGCGATTGAATTGCGCATGCATTTCACGGAGATACCTTCCGTCGAACCCGCCGAGGCGTGGGGTGTGCGCCCTCATCGATCGGTCATGTATTAGGGAAAATAAATACACACAGAAAAACTACCCGTTCGAGATATACCCGCAGTCGAACTGGATGTGTGCAACAAGCCGAGACAGGGAAAAATAAGAAATAGACACGCATACGAACGCTAGTTTTCCCGACGCCGCTCTGAGCCCAACTCAGGCTTTTCGCAGAGCCTTCTACGGTACACTGGGCCGCAGCATCCTGGAAGTCATCCCGCGTGTGCCAGGAGGTATGTCTACGTATCAATCTGTGAGAGATATGCCATACCAACCACCACATGACGCCCTCCCATCTCACGTCACATTTTGGCGGATACACCTTGCCGCACACCCCCAAGTCCATACATGCCCCCAACTTCAATACAGGACAAACCGTTTCAATGCGAACAGAATTTCATCCCTCAATACGAACACGGGTGGGTGAGAGGGGATAGACTACACGGCAACAACACTCCATCACTCCCCCTTCAAATTGATCAAATACACGTGAAGGGATAAACCGCATATTCGGACAAATACTTTACGGCAAATCCCACATAACTTCCGCGACTAATCTTGAAGGGGATTTCACAAAACCCATCTAACGAATAGACTGCCGAGGAGAAAGCTTTATGGCTTCCCTCAAAAGTCAGCAAGTGCTGCCTACGCAAAAGAACGTAATAGACAAAAACATGTGAAAAAAAAGCACTATGACTTGCTTCGAATCATCTCTCCTAAACAAGAAACAACTCACGTTACCAGCCCATTCTCAAAGACCTCCACGCGACTCGCCGAATACCTCACGGCGCTTCGCGCTTGATGTGCTAGCCTGGTCCGGTGAAAACCTGGCCTGCCCCGTCCCGGCTTTGTAGGGCTGCGAAGTCAAGGGTCTAGCGACAACGGCATGCACACGGCTATGAGTACCCCCCCCCCCCCAACGCCAGGGATTAAATTTTTTTTTGCCCTCTT